TTTTGTTATAACCTAAAACTATATTTAACACACTACTTAAGACAATTAATACAGCATAACTTTCTAACATAACACATATAATATTCATTTGAATATTTGTGAAAAGCCAATCATAAAACACGCATTTTTCACCTTATAGATGGATATGAGATGATTGGCTCTCGCAATTAAAATATAACTATTGTGTGAATATTAAGAGAAGCTTTAGTGATGTACGGTTATGTTATTGTATTATGTATGTCCTCTGTTCCCCCACAGTTCCCTTTCCCCCCTGTACTGTTGCCATCAGACAGCTGGGCTGTCCAGGACAGGTACAAAGAAGCTGCACAGGTGTCCCTTGCATGGGGCAGGTGGGGATGGAAAAGCTTGGGGGTGCTCAGGGGGTGGGCATGGCAACACCTGAGCTCCAATGCAGGTACAAGGAAGCAGTTTGCACTGATAAATGGCACAGAAGAGCTGACTGACAGACTTGGGGAGGGCCAGGGTCACTCCGACCAGCAGAGAGTCTGAGAGCAGCCCTGTGCACCTGCACCCTGCCAGGCTGCCAAACTGGACTCACTGGCACTGCCCAGCACACGCTGACCTCCTCAAAGAGAGCACTTAAAAATTTACACAGCAGAGGTGGTGTTCAATATTTTCCAGACAAACAAAATCACGTCTTAAATCCACATCTTACAAGTGTTAAGAAATAATTACAAATTGCTTTTGCATAGCCCACTTTGACAAACAGCAGAGATCAGAAGGTGTCACTGTCACATTTTCTGAAAAATCCCTTTGCCAGGACTTCTTCTCCTGGGAAGCTGAGAAGCCTCAGGGAAAAAGGAAAACAATATTATCCCATTTGCTTCTCCCTGTTTTGCTGCTTTGGAATGGGGTTGGAGGTTGTTTATCCAACATGTGAATTGTTTTTAGTCAATGACCAATCACCATCAGCTGTGTTGGACTCAGGAGTCAGTCATGAGTTTTTCATTAGCATCTCATTAAGCCTTCTGTAAGGTTCCTCTCTCTATTCTTTAGTATAGTTTTAGTACAGTATAATATAATAAATAAAATATAGTAAATATAATAAAATATAACGGATATAATAAATATAAATATAACAAATAAAATATAACTAATATAATTAATAAATATAATAATACAATATAATTAATGCAATATAATATAATATAACATAACATAACAATAAATTAGGCTTCTAAGAAGACGGAGTCAGATTCTCAGTTCCTCCTCTGTCCCAGGGACCCATAAAGTACCAGGAGAAGTTAATTAAATTCACCTCCTTTATTTGCCCATTCCGACGGGTGCCTCGCTCGGTCTCAGCTGCATGGGGAGCCCCGCGGGGTGTGCCCGTGGCCCGGCTCCACCGGGCACGCTCGGCTCCCGCGGGGCCACGGCCCCGTCCCCGCCGCTGGGCTGGGCTGGGCTGAGCTGGGCTGGGCTGGGCTGGGCTGCAGGGGATCCCCCAGCCCTGCAGCAGTGCCAGCCCTGGGGACTTTGGCAGTGAGGGCAGCCAGCCCTCGCCAGCACCGTCCCGTCTGGCACGGGCACAGATCTGAGCGCTGTGGGCATCTGCAGGCTGAGGGAAAGCCCCAGTTCAGTGCCCAGCAGGTGTCCCTGGCACAGACATGTTTCATGAAAATTCCTTCCCTTAGGATTTTTCCTCCTGAGAAGCTGAGAGGCCTCAGGAATGAAATGTAACCAATGGTTATCTGCGGCTGTGGAATGCAACAGGTGCATCTGGGATTGGGCTCATGTGGTTGTTTTTAATTAATGGCCAATCACAGCCCAGCTGTCCCAGACTCTGGTCAGTCACAAGATTTTATTATCATTCCATTCCTTTCTACTGCTTGCTAGCCTTCTGATGGAATCCTTTCTTCTATTCTTTCAGTATAGTTTTAATATATCATTTTCTTTTAATATAATATATATCATAAAATAATAAATCAGCCTTCTGAAACATGGAGCCAAGACTTTCGTCTCTTCCCTCGTCCTGGGACCCCTGAGAACACCACCACATGTCCCCAGCCAAAATCCCCTCCTCTCTGATCTCTGACCCAGGCGGGCTCCAGCCAGGACTGGCCATGGCGAGGGGCAGGGCCAGGGCTGGGTTCTGCAGCTCCCAGCCTCTGCAGCTGAGCTTTTACAGGCTCCAGTGGGCCTGACTGGGTGACCCCAGCCTGCCCCGTACTCACTCTGCCACCTATGATTTCACCACCGGCTGCAGGAAGCAGGCAGCTGCCAGCACCAGGGAAGGAGCTGTGGAGCAGCAGCGAAGGGGAGAAGGGCTCACAGCGGGCTCACAGCCCTTGGCTGCCCCGTGTGCAGTGCCCAGCTGGGCTCAGGTACCTGCAGGCGCTTCCTTCCCGTTCCACCTGCCCTCAGGAGTGAAGGAATGCTCTCACTTGGCAGCCCCGAGGCACTGCCAGACACAGTGGCCAAAGCCTGGACTGCTCCTCCTGCTGCAGACTGGAGCTCCAGGTGCGTGTGAGGGGTGTGCACCTGGCTGCTGTATCACCTGCTGTCCCCTGGGGCTCCACCGAGCGCCCTGTGTGCACTGAGCAGCTGTGGGGCAGTGCTGCCCCAGGTCTCCAGCTGTGCAGCAGCTCACCTGCTCCCCGTGCGCTGGGCAGCAGCTCCAGCCGGTCACAGGGGCCAGCGGGGGCCAGGGCAGCCTCAGGCTGCCACGCTCACAGGAGCCAGCAGCAACACACCGACCTCCATCTGCACCTCTGCAGGTGAGGACAAGGTCACAGAGTCACAGAACCACCGAGCAGGGAAAACAGCTCCGAAGCCATCAACCCCAACCTCCGAGCAAAGGTCGAGCTGGCCTCGTCAGCTCGGGCACAGCAGAGTGTCCCTGAACACCCCAGGGACAGCCACTGCAGCGCCTCTCTGGGCAGCCTGAGACAAAACTGATACCCGACCTGAACCTCCCCAGTGCTGGAACTCAGGACATCCCTCTGGCTGCCCTGGATTGCCCAAACCCCTGCCTGAGGGCTCAGAGACCCTGGCACAGAGCCCAAGGTGGCTGTGGCTTGATTATGACCCATGGAAAAAGTTACAAACCTTAGATGAGCATCTGCAAGCCACGAAAGTCTAAGTAGAATAATAGTTAATTTGCCACAGGGTGAAAAATAGATTTTGGGCTTTTTGGTATGGGGGTTCAGGGGGCAAGATGGAGAAATCTGGGCGTGTCCAGCCTTTCTCCTTCTCCTTCTTGGCCTCCATCTTCTGCTGTGATGTTGGCACTTTTGGGTTGGTTTAGAGTAGAAGCTCACTGTCTAACACAGGTGACAGGTATTGGAAAGTAACTGTAAATATTGTACAGGTAGTTTTTAGTATAAAAAGATAACCCTGCCCTGGGGCAGGCAGAGTGCCTCTGACTGTCCTGCTGAGCAGTGCTGGGCAGGACAGGAGAAATAAGGAACAATAAACAACATTGAGACTGAGAAATGAAGAGCTCTGACTCCTTCTTTGAGCGCCGGGCTGGGAAAAGAGACTTTGTGACACATCTTGGGGTCACTGTGAGCAGCAGAAGTGCCCAGACCCCAGCACAGCTTTGAGACTGTGTCCTCTCATCAGTGGCTGTGCAGCCAGCACAGGAAGGCAAAGCCTCACCAGGGCTCACAGGATGTGCAAACCCACGCTGGATCCGTGCCAGCGCAGGCACAGCTGACCGGGGCTGCCCACACACAGACTCTGGCCCCTGTCACCCCCTCAGGCTCACGGGCCAGCAAGGCCACCTGAGCTGTTCTGGGCTTTCTGCTCTCTCAGGGCAGTCAGGCCTACATCGCTAAACGGGGGCTTTGGCACAAACAAACCCATCTGCAGGGCCTGCCGAGGCACAGCGCTCCTCCGGAAAGGACCATTCAGGAGACAAGTGCTCTGTGCTGCCCCGGCACACAAGGCCATGCCTGTAAGCAGCACTGCAACACCCTGCAGGGCACTGCAGCGGCTCCGAGGCCCTCCAGAGCCCCCATAACTGCCTGGGTGACCTCAGGAGAGGCTTCAAACACATTGGGCCACACATAAATTAACAAGTCATGAAGAGAATCGTCACAGCTGAAGCCACAAACACCAGGGTACATGCGCTGCACCACAGCACTGGCTGTTTGTCCGTGTACAACATCCCTGCGAAGAGAGCAACGAGACTTAAAAGCAACACAATTGGACAATATTTCCTTCCTCAGGGGCTCCTTGGGAAAGGACCCGTTCTGTACCCGGCAGGACCCTGCAGCCAGGAGAGGGACCAGGCAGCAGCAGTACCCACGGCCGAGCCCCCGTTCCCAAGCCGCACGCAGACGCACTGGGCAGCCCCGGCAGGGACAGGGCTCAGTGGCGGCGGTGACACATCCCTCAGGGCCGGAGAGCCTCTGCCCCGGCACGGCACACGGGGGAGCACCGGGACGGAGCTCGGCGGGACGCGGAGCCCCGCACTGCCCCAGCCCCAGCCCGGAGCGGGCAGCGGGGCGCTGAGCGGCACGGCCTCGGGCGGCCATACACACCGCAGTGAAAGCGGGCCGCACCGTTTGTTACCGAGCCGGTAACACCAACTCAGTTCCGCGCCAGCACGCACACCCCCCGGCGCTGGCCGTGCGCTGCGAGGGGCACCGTGGGCCGCCTCTGCGGGGAGCGGCAGGACCCAGCTCTCCGGGGCCGGGGGCCGGCTAGGACCCACCGGGGAGCACCTGCGGCCGCACGAGGGGCACAGAGCCTGGCCCGGCCCCGTGCGGAGCTCTCCGGGAGCTGAGTTCTCCCAGCGCGCCGCTCTCCCAGCCCCAGGCTCCCTCAGGCCGTTCCCGCCTGCCTCTGCCCCGCCCTCAGGGGCGTGGCTAGAGGAACACCGCCATCTGATTGGCGGACGCACGTGGAGGCGTGGCCTGTGTCAGGATGGTTGACACCGCCGGGTCCTCGCACCCTCCGCTGGCCCCGCCCCGTGCGGTAGCGTGGTGACGTCACACGGCGGCGCGGTGACGTCAGAGAGCGGCGCGAGGCCGCGCCGTGCCGGGCGCTTGTGGCGCCGCGATCGCGGTAACGGTGCGGGCCCGGTGCGGGCCCGGTGCGCTCCGCTCAGCTCAGCTCCCTTCCGCTCCTCTGTGCTCCGCTCCGCCATGGCAGCGCCACCCACAGGTGCGTCCCGTCCCGCGGCGGCCGCGCAGGCGCCGGGGCAGCGGCAGCCGCGGTTCGCTGGGCCCAGCCGCAGCCGCCGCCGGGCTGACCTTGGGCCCCGGTGGCGGCGCTGGAGGGTGGCGGTGCGGCACGGCGGGGCAGCACACGGTGCCGGGGGAGCGGGAGCGGCCCCGGCCGGTGCGCGGGGCTGCGGCCGCCGCGGCCCGGAGCAGAAGGCCCCGCCGGGAACCTGCACCGGCAGCGCGAGGGCTTCGCCGGGGACGGAGACACTGCTGCCATCAGAGGCAGCGGGACCTCGGAGAGCAAACGGCTCTGCCATTCTTCCCCCATCCTTTCTCTGCCTTTCTCCCCCCGCCCTTTTCTTCCCTCCCTTTTCTCCTCCCTGTTTCTCCCAGCTCCATTCTGTCTCTCTGTCCTTTCCTTTTCCTTCCCCCGTCCTTTCTCCCCTCCTCGTTTCGGTAGCTCCTCATGCCAGGCAGGGCCGTTGTCCCCAAGCACCCCTTAGATCCTGGGGTCTCCTGTGTGCTGCTGGTGCTGGGGAGCATTTGGGGCTCAGGAATAGCCCCAGCCCCACACGGCTGTCACAGACCTTACTGTGATCGAGGGTGGGATTTGGGCACCTGCAGAAACATCTTCTCATAACTGTTAAATAAATAATCCCATTCTTCTGTCAAACAGGGCTTGCCAAGTAGAGATCCCTGCAGTCCTTCTTCAGACTGTCTGGCCAAGCTGCCTCTGTCCACGTCCTTCAGGAGCCTGGGCCCAGCTGAATTCCACCTGTGACCCTTCTCAGCAGAGCGAGGACATCGGGCACGGGGGCTGATGCAGAGGAGGCTGCATGGCAGTGAGCTGGGACTGATTGAATCTCTGCCCTGTGCCATTGGGGTCACACCTGTGTGGCACCTGTGCCTCCCTGTGGGTGGTGGTGAACCTGAGTTACCTGGTGTTTTGTGCCACGGGGAGAGGCAGAGTGTAAGGATCAGGCTTTGTGATGCTGCTGCACGCCTTTGATGTAGTTTTGGTGTTGCATAGGTTTTTTGGCAGCCTCTCTTTTGTTCACAGTGTTCTGTTAGCGTGAGGGCCAGCCTTTCACTGTTGGAGCTGGTGATTCCAGGGGGATTTATTTCTGTTTAGGTTTGGAACAGCACAGAAGGGAAGCAGTGCTGCTCTCTGAGGTTGCCTGGCTGCGGGCAGGCATGGCCCAGCCCCTGCCCGCGCTGGCTGTTCGCTGCTGCTCCCCGCGGGCGCCGGGGTGTTGCTGCAGGCTGCAGGGGTGATGCGGTAGCGGCGGGGCCGGCTCCGGCTGTCTCACCGGCTGTTCCTGGCACGGAGCGGCGGCGCCATGGCTCGGGCAGCCCCCGAGGAGGCGCCGGGCTCCTCGGGCAAGCACTACGTGTGCGGGCTGTGCGCGGCCTTCACCAACATCGCGGTGACGTTCCCCATCCAGAAGGTGCTGTTCCGGCAGCAGCTGTACGGGCTGCGCGCCGGCGAGGCCGTGCGCCAGCTGCGCCGCGACGGGCTGCGCACGCTCTACCGCGGCATCCTGCCGCCGCTGCTGCAGAAAACCACCACGCTGGCCCTCATGTTCGGCCTCTACGAGGATTTCTCGGCGCTGCTGCTGAGCCACGCCCGCGCCCCCGAGCTGCTGACGCGCAGCGCAGCCGCCGCGCTGGCCGGCACCACCGAGGCCGTGCTCACGCCCTTCGAGCGCGTGCAGACGCTGCTGCAGGACTACAAGCACCACGACAAGTTCACAAACACTTACCAGGCTTTCAGGGTGCTGAGGGCCTACGGGGTGCGGGAGTACTACCGGGGATTGGTGCCCATTCTGCTGCGGAACGGGCCCAGCAACGTGCTCTTCTTCGGGCTGCGCGGGCCCATCAAGCAGTGTCTGCCCGAGGCCACCTCGCACAGCTCTCACCTGATCAACGACTTCATCTGCGGGGGGCTGCTGGGCGCCCTGCTGGGCTTCCTCTTCTTCCCTGTGAACGTGGTAAAGACTCGCATGCAGGCTCAGATCGGTGGCGAGTTCCAGTCCTTCTCCAAAGTGCTGGTGAAGATCTGGCTGGAGCGCGACAGGAAGGTGATCCACCTGTTCCGAGGAGCCCACCTGAACTACCACCGCTCTGTGCTGTCCTGGGGGATCATCAACGCCACCTACGAGTTCCTGCTGAAGCTGCTGTGACCCGTCCTGCTTGAGGGGCACCAGCACTCAGCGTCCCCGGTCCCAGGGAGCAGTGCCTGTGCCTGTGGCAGGTAGTTCCTCCCAGCCTTCCGTATTTATGGGGTGAATGGTGATGCATTTAAACCTTGGTGCAATTATGATGAACTTCTTGAAGTATTCCTTTGCTGGCAGGCGAGTTTGCCCATAACAGAGCTACCAGACAAACACAAGGTGTAAAAGAGGAAAGAGATGTAGTCTGTATCACTCCCAAAATTGCGCTATGCTCTGTGGTGGGATGCACTCCACTGCCCATGTTTAGAACATGAGAATCAAGGAGGAGCTGAGGAAAAACAATTCCATTGCCTGATCATCTTCCCAGTCTCGATTTTGGAACTGCATTTTCGGATGTTTTGGGGTCCTCATTACTTTGTGCGAAGCTCAAAGGACATCGATAGAGAAGGGGATGGCTGAAGTGCAGAGCTCCCAGCTGCACCTCAGCCTGCTGCAGCCGCTGCAGGGTGCAGCCTGTGGTGACCATGTCCTCCAGCCGTGGCACTGAACGCGTGACCTCAGCCCAGGCTGGATCTGTGTGTGTTGTGTGCGTGCTTGTACGTGTGCCTTCCTGTCAAAAGGGAAAAGTGGAAGGAATGGGACAGCAAACTCACTAAAGCTTTAAAGTGTCCTTCCTCGTTAAAAAACTTGGGAGTTTGTTCTGCTTTTTCCGAGGATTTTTTATTTTTTAATTGCTGCTTTTTCTGTTGCCTCCAGCTGCAGGATCAGGGAGGTGTCCCTGTGTGTAAGGACACTCCAGCTCCTGCCGCTGCTCAAGCACTTCACAGGCTTTTTGCACTGCCACGTCTTGTCTTTTCTCAGCTCCCTCTGTGGAGTTACCGATCACGAGGTGTTTGTACCCAAAACTCGGGGTTCTGTCTGCTTGGTGTGTTCTGTTAAAGGTTCTGCAGCACAGGAGTGGCACGGGCAAGGTGAGAGTCCTGGGTGACCTGCTTCAGTGGAGGTCTGTAGGTATAGTGGAGACGAAAAGCCAAAGATGACCTTGGAAGCAGGGAGCAGGAAAGGTGGAGTGCTTGGGGATGTGTTTCAGGACTTCTGTTGGCAAACTTTGAAAGGGACTGACAGCAATCTGTGTGTTACGGACACAGGAGATGAGAGAGAGGAGACTTGAGGCTTTAGATACAGGGACAGAAGAGCGAGCACAACCCTGAGCTAGATGAGGGTCCCAGCAGAAGTGTTTGAGTCTCCCTGAGGGCTTCCTCTTCAATTAAACTACACATTCACATATAAACCAAAACACTTTGGATGATCGGGAGCAGCAAAGCTTTCAGACACTGCTTTCAATTTAGTCTTTACCTAAGTCTTGGAGGGGCTATTGCTTTTCTGAATTTGAGTTTTCCATTTGCTAAAACTGTCTTCCAAAATTGATTCTAATCAGTGTGTTGTAATCATACAGTCCTGAGCTTCAGACAGCATGGGTGGGCACAAGAGCGAGTTCCTGCATCCCAGTGGTGATTATCCATCTAAATAAAATGTTTACTGGATGTTTGTTACTGGCAGAATCTGATTTTTACCAGTGTACCTTCTTTTTGTAATCACTCCTTGATGGAATAAAAACAAAATCTGCATCCTGTTTCTCTGTGGAAGATGTTATGTGCTCCTGTAATGTCAGGGAAGCCAGAGTGTTGAGGGTGAGAGTTTGGCACAAGCCCAGCTACCCCAGCAAAAATGAAATAGTGGAACCCTGGGTCTGAGGTTCAGAGTCACTTTTGAGTCTTGAAATGTCACTTTCAGAAAAATTTAATGTAAAAGCACTACTGTGACATGCACACTCGTGAATGGCAGCATCTAAGCAATTGGAAGTGTTTTTCCTTTTAATTTTTAGGGGATATGCAAGAGCCAGCATGGCTGATTGTAATATAAATAAAATACGTTTCAATTCAGTGAATTATTAAATGTTTATTATGCAAGCAAGAGAAACTGTCCACAAATAGTAAGTTACTGTACGGCTGTAAGTACAATACTTCCAAAGCAGTTCTGATACTTCATATACGGTATTAAAAGGCTACAGTTTTTACTAGGAAATCTCAGGTATTTCAAAATACTCTACATGCACAATTCGTTTTTTGTATTAAAAACCTTTTACTTAACTGAGGATCTTAAGTGCTTTAGAAAATGCACCTTTGACTAAGATCAGCCAATGAGAAGTTTCTGTTTCCTGCAGGTTAAAAACATGATGGGTCGTTGACTTCTTCCTTTCTCTCCAACTTTTTAGGATCTTGTAAACTAAATTTTTTGAAACCTTTCATTTGGCAAGTGTATTTCTTTTTTCCCCAAAGAGTTTATATGTCCTAGAGCAACAGACCCATGCATTACAACGTCAGAACCTTCTCCACATCAGTGCTACCCAAATTAAAACCACAACACAAACAAACAGAAACAAAGCCCACTAAATTAACCAATACCCCCCCCCCTTCCCGAAAAAACTGATGTTTACATTCTAATTCTGGTAGTAGGCATCGAGCTGTCCTTACCCCAAGACTCCACGAGTGCAAACAATCGTGTGTGTGTGTGTGTGTGTGTGTGGGCACCGCTGTGCTTGTCCTCTATCCCCATGGCGCGGCGGTGCCGTCCCGGCGCGGGCACTGCGGGCACTGCGGGCCCCGGAGCGGGGAGCCCGCCCGCCGTGCGAAACCAGCAGAGCGCTCACAGAGCTCCGTGCACGCATCCCGCTCCCTGCATCCATCCTGCTCCGTGCACCCATCCCGCTCCGTGCACCCATCCCGCTCCGTGCACCCATCCCTCTCCGTGCACCCATCCCGCTCCGTGCATCCATCCCGCTCCGTGCACCCATCCCGCTCCGTGCACCCGTCCCGCTCCCTGCGCCCATCCCGCTCCGTGCACCCGTCCCGCTCCGTGCACCCATCCCGCTCCGTGCACCCATCCCGCTCCATGCATCCGTCCCGCTCCGTGCACCCATCCCTCTCCGTGCACCCATCCCGCTCCGTGCACCCATCCCTCTCCGTGCGCCCATCCCTCTCCGTGCACCCATCCCGCTCCCTGCATCCATCCCTCTCCGTGCGCCCATCCCTCTCCGTGCACCCATCCCGCTCCCTGCACCCATCCCTCTCCGTGCGCCCATCCCGCTCCGTGCACCCATCCCGCTCCCTGCACCCATCCCGCTCCGTGCACCCATCCCGCTCCGTGCACCCGTCCCGCTCCCTGCATCCATCCCGCTCCGTGCATCCATCCCGCTCCGTGCACCCATCCCGCTCCGTGCACCCGTCCTGCTCCGTGCACCCATCCCACTCCGTGCACCCATCCCACTCCCTGCATCCATCCTGCTCCGTGCACCCATCCCGCTCCGTGCACCCATCCCTCTCCGTGCACCCATCCCTCTCTGTGCACCCATCCCTCTCCGTGCACCCATCCCGCTCCCTGCACCCATCCCTCTCCGTGCACCCATCCCGCTCCCTGCACCCATCCCTCTCCGTGCATCCATCCCGCTCCCTGCACCCAGCCCGCTCCGTGCACCCATCCCGCACTGCCACCCCAGCGCACGGACAGCGCTGCCGGCAGCCGCCCCGGCCCTCTGTCAGCGCAGTCCTTCCTCCCCTGGAAATGTCTCCTTACAGTTGTTTCACAGTTTTGTACACTTCTCGAGGTCGAGTCTTTGAAACACAACTAGAAGATAAGCTTTTTTTTTGTTTTTTGTTTTTTTTTTTTTTTTTTTGTTTGACTACCTAGAAATAACCCAAAGCTCACCAACACAGAATTTCATTGTTTCATTAATGCTACCGAGAGAGAACTGAAAACACTTGCACCACCACATGACTGTGAGGCATGTCAGCTGTAAGCCACAGAGAAGTGACCTTCACAGGTAAAACACGGTAAAGCCTTCATGGAAAACTTCCAAGTTTGTTGAAAAGGAGTAATCAATCGAATGACCAAAATCTAAGACTACCTACTTACGCTAATTCAAACTTATTACAAATGTCATCAGAAAAACTAAGTAACATTTCTACAGCATACATGTACAGAATCTGTCATTTTATGCATCTGCTGGACACGCTACAAAAGCATCAAGGTGACCAAACCCCTCCACCAGGTGAGCTGCCAGTCCCAGAGCCAGGCAGGGCCTGCCAGCCAACCACAGGTGCTATCAAGGAGTGGCGGTGACACATCTGTCACACATCTGTCACTTCAGGGTCATGGTTCCTCGGTACAGAAAGGTGAGTGTCCAAAGCTCAGCACAATACTGGTGTAAAACACAGCGTATCATGAGGTAGAATTTAAAAGGTAACACTCAGTGCATATTCACAGGCATAGCATTACAGTCACTAGGGATCCACCAGTCTGAGGAGGTTCTGACAGGAAAACAAAAACAGCCTTGGAAACACAGACAGAGCCACCCAAGAACTGCCTTGGTCCTGTGGGTGCTCCCTTCACCTCCAAAACAAACACTGTGCAAGCCCGTGAGAACCCCAAGGTTCTCTCAAGTGTCCCTGTAGTCCCTTCCATGATGCGTAATAAAACATTAAATAAGGTGAGAAAACAGCAGCCTGCCAGTGGGACAGCAAAAGCTGCTCTAGTCCTGGGCAGGACCCGGGTGTTTTTCCCCAAACAGCTTGGCCCATACAAACTCCTTGTAGCTCCTCCTTTGCAGGAAAAGCCTGCATGCCAGGCTTGTCCCCACATTTCCTGCACACACTGCACACCCAGGGTGCTGAACCACAGCCAAGGGAATGCCCTGAGGGCTTCCACAGCCCGGCAGACCCACCTGCCCCACTGCAGGGTGGGGCCAGCAGAAGGGATGGTTGCCCTCAGATTACCCTACACACAAAACTGAAGGCTTTGCATTACCAAAGAAATTCTCCAAAAGAGGAAACTTGTGATTTTCTTCTCTCTAATGCAAAGGAGGCTTTAGTTTCAATGATTTCTGCACCAACACCAGGGTATACTACCCACATAAATACAAAGCTACAGGAGGGTCCTCAGGCTTACCTTTCCAGCTTTCTCACGTCCATAAACGTTGTCTTTATCCCCAAATACGTTTTGCAAAAGGCTTTGTAAGAGTCAGCTTTGAACAAGTGTGCTCTGCTGAGCCAGAGAGTGTACCTGAACACCAGCAGGTGACAGTCCTTTCAGGTAAAGTTCCCTGCTGAACTGAGTGTGTGACTAGTCCGCAAAACTTCAGTGAAACACTAAAAAACCTCATCTGGGAACATATAAGTTATGAGAATGTTATGAACTGATATGGATGTACAACATCTGTGCATTTACAAGGTTAGCTCTATTAATTTGAGGGCTGAAATCTGGCATTCATACTCTGGGTGTGACCACAGAATCACAGTCCCCTCAGCTGGAAGGGACCCACAGGATCACCCAGTGCCACCCCTGCCCTGCCCAGAGCCCCAGCAATCCCATCCTGGGCATGCCTGGGGTGCTGTCCAAGCTCTGCTGGAGCTCTGGCAGGCTCGGGGCTGTGCCCATTCCCTGGGCAGAGCCAGCAGTTACCCTCTGGGGAAGCAGAACCTTCCCTGATCTCCATGCCAAATGCCCCTGGCCCAGCCCCAGCCGTGCCCTGCTCCTGTCCCTTGTCACAGCAGTGCAGATCAGTGCCTGCCCCTCCACTGCCCCACAGGGGGATGTTCAGGAGCACCAGGAGATCTCATCTCAGACTCCTCCAAGCTGAACAAACCAAGTGATCTCAGCTGCTCCTCATACAGCTTCCCCTCCGGGGTGAGCAGTACAGTGCTCCACATCTGATGACAAGCCTGGTTAGATCCAGGTAGATCCCACTGTTGGCAGGTTTGCTTTTAATCCCCTCCCAAACTGACAGCACATGTGAGGAAAGGCTCGTCTGGCGATACCAGGAACACATCCAAATGGATTTCCCCCACAGACAGAGTGCGGCCAGGTGTGTGTGGAAAAACAGCCAGCTGGGAAATATCCAAACGTCAGCAAAAAGCCACCATGATTCAGACGTGGAAAGCCCCCTGCAACAGACACCTGGCAGAGCAGGGGCCAGAGCTGCCCTGCTGCACGGACCCAGAGAGATCCTTGGGGCCAGGGTCCCCCTTGTGCTGAGTGGGGGCTCAAGGGGAGCCTGCCTGTGCAGGGGTGGGCCTGGGTGACCTCCAGTGGTCCTGCCAGCCTAAGCCACGCCGTGACTCATTTTGCTAGCCAATGACAACCACATTAACATAGAAATAAAAGCAAAATTCCTTTTTCTTTTTTTTTTTTTGTTTTTTTTTTTTCCCTTTTTGGTGAGAGTAACTAACCGTGTTGCTTATGTAGACAAGCAGTCCATTATCTACTAATCACCACAGAGTTGCTTCAGCAACAGAAGAGGAAGCAGAGGTAAGGCAGTCCAGCTCCTGTGGGACAGGAGGTACCTGGGCACCCTGCCCCTCTGTGCTGCTCCAGACAGCCCACTGGAGTTGTGCTGAAGGCAACAATCAAGTATCAGGGTACAAACACAGCAGGACAGCAGCCCGATGGCACAGGATCAGCAGGAGCAGAGGTTCTGCTGGCAGGGCTGTGGGCTCACAGATGCAGGACCCAGATCCACGCGGCGCTGGCCTGAAAAATCCTTCCAGGTCACATCCCGAGGGCGCAGCAGCCGTGACTCCGCTGGGCTCCGAGGTTTTGGAGAGAGCACACTTCCACTCACTCAGCTGAAGGAAAACCCTCCCAGGTCCATCCAGGGGGGCCGCTGCCGTGCCTAGAACTTTGGCTGGTAGAGGGAGACGCGTCCGCTAAGGCACCCCGAGGCGATCTGACAGTGCGTGGGCGAGAACTTGGTGGTGAGCACCACGTCGTTGTGGGAGTAGAGCGAGCGGATCTCGCGCAGGGGGCTGGCCTCCCGCGGCAGGCAGTCCACCAGCTCGCTGCAGTGCGCGTCGAAGCCCAGCAGGCGGATGCCGAAGCCGTGCGGCGACGAGATCATGCGGCCGTCGGGGCTGAAGCAGAGCTCCTTGATGTAGCCCCGGCCCACGTTGGCCTCCTCGATGCAGTGCGTCAGGCGCAGCGAGCAGCGCGGCGACACGGGCCGCACCGGGGCTCCTTCCTGGAATTCATAGACACAAGTCCACTAAAGGGAGAGGCAGAGAAAGGGACACTGAAAGAGAAGTAAAGCACTGCAAACACACATTCCCTCCCCCTGCACCTGTAGCGGTGACAGCAGCTCGTGTGAACAGGAGGGACACGCTCCTGCTGGGCTGCTCCCACTGCCTCAGCGCCTCCCTCCCTGTGAGCTACCCGAGCAAAGCCAAAGCGGCTGCCCAGCACTAGAGCTGCTCTTCTGATTACACAGGTGCCAGGTATAATCTTTCCAATCTGGGTTTCATCTGCAGGGGGCAAAGCCTAATCCTTTGGCCAGGCACCTGCTCTAATTTAGTAAATATTTAAATTAAGTCCATAAAGTCAGATTCGGCTGACTGTACCTCAGAGCAGATCACTGGGATTTTATGCCTTTGCCTTCAAAAGGAATGGAATCTTGAAGCAAGTGGGTAACACACTTTTGAAGGAAGGTTATGAACAGCTCTGCAGCCAGTTTGTGATTTGTGAGACACATTAAGGATCCCTGTCTGTCATCCCATTATTTAATATCAGAACAAATATTAAAAAAAAAATCAATGACAAAGTTTATATTGTGTTGATTCCACTTCACCCCCAAGACAAGCATTCCTAGCTCTGTTTCATGCATCGTTCTGAATTAACCACAACACGAAAAGTACCAATGAATATTCATAAAGCAGAGTAAGGCAGACTCTAGGACTAAGAGACATTATAACTCAGTCAATCATCAGCACCAGCTGACCCAATGTAACATTTTGCATGTTACAGAAGTTTTGTGTTGTACATCAGTTTGATTGTTGCAGAGCCAGCATTAAAATTTATAACCAACCTGCAAGGCTTCCACTCGGTCCTCTACACTTGTGTAAAGGGTTACCTTTACAAAGAGTGACTTTCTTCAACAAAAACAACAACAAAAAATCCCAAATAAATGCACAGAGACCAAAAAAATCCCACCAAAACCAAATGAACCTCAATTTACATCAGCCATCAAAGCAACTAGCACTTTTATTATTGGTCCAGTACTATTGTCTACTGCTGGTCAAGCTAGAGGAGCAGAATCTGCAGCTTGCAGCTGAACTGTAGCTGGTCTTATGACTTCCTGCATCAAGCAAAAGGCTTGAAGCAGGTTCTAGCAGGCAGATCATTTTAGAAAAAAAGCCAGAAGCACACAATTGAAAGAAGAGCACGAGGCAGTGTGTTACCTCCTGGTCATCCGTGTTGCTGGAGCAGCGCAGCAGCGTGGCCCAGCCCTTGGGGTGCAGCTGCAGCGACGTGATGCAGTTACCGCGGTCTCTCTCTCCAGGAACCTCTGGTGTTAACACCTCGAGGCTGTTCCTAGGTGATCCCCCTGCAAGGGAATCAACTGTGAGTCTCAGTGAAATGCGCACAGTGACCTCCAGCTCTCTCACCAGTCCTGCTGCTGAAACGGGGGCACGCCTGTGGCAGCTGCCAGGACAGACTGCACCGTCAGGACAGGGAGATTCAGAGGAACCCTGAGCCCGCACCCATGGGCTCAGTCCCCACTTCAAACAGCTCCTTTTGGTGACACTGGAGTGCCAACACCTGCACGGAACCCACCACACTGACAACTACACTAACCTTCCACACTCATGCTCCTCATTGGTATTACAGCAAAATCTAAAGAGTGAGGCTCTTATGAGATTTGCTGATTCTCAAACTTGTATGATGTGCCCTCCAAATTCCTCCCAACACTTGCTCAGCTTGCAGCTTTTCTCCCTTCTTCCCCTCAGCCCCAGGTAAATCACTCCCTGGCATCCAGGTAAGCCTCCTCTCACCAGTATGCTTCAGCATCTCACAACCACAAGTAGCTAAAAATTAACATTACATTCTTTCAAATTACAAGGGGTGCACAAAGTATTCACCCATTTGCCAAATTCATGCTTATTCTCTGGAGTTTTCACTGAAAGAACATTCACACAAACTTTGTTCATGGAAAAACACAAGGAAAAGGGAGCACCTCCATGAAACAACAACATACAAACATAAAATACAGATCTTGATACTTTTACCCGATTTCTCAGACGTAAAACCTGATTAGATCCCCAGGCTTTGGTGTGCAATGAGATTTTATTGGTTTAATACAAGTCTCAGCAACACCATCCTTAAAAAACCACAGGACAAAAAAGCAGTTCTTCTCGATTGTAGCCTGGCCTCTTTTGGTCCAGGGTTTATTTTCATTTATCTCTTTGTTTGGTGATCTGTTCCTACCTTCTCGCTGGGAGGGCCGTGACAAGGTTTTCTCAGAGGGCGGCCCTGAGTTGTTCTGGTGGCAGGGTGAGCCCACAGCTCGAGGGCCAGAGGAGCCTGACGACGTTATATCTGCAAACACAGCACACAGGTGAGCCCACAGGTGTCCCAGCACAGGTGGGCTGCTGCCCAGGAGCACCCCACGGCACAGGCCCTGCCACTCCTCCCCAGCACTCACCTGAGCTCGACGTGGTCCTCCTGGCCCGTAAAATGGGGTAGCTGCCAACCTCTAAAGACTTGTTTAGGTCAAGGTCGTGCAAAATCAGAAGGTAACCAGAAGAGGTGGAGATCAGCATTTTGGAACAGTCTGGCGTCAGCCTCATCCGCATCAGAAAACGGGTGTGAAAAAACTTCTTGTGGGGACATCCATCCTCAGTGCACCTGGACAGCAAGACAAGCACAGGGGGGGCTGTGGTCAGCTGCAGCTCCAGGCCCTGACTGTGTCCAGGAGGTGCCCAGCATCATTCATTTTGTTCACCCCAAAACCCTTTTTTAAAGCACTGTCTTTATCCTACTTTTTAATGGAATGGGTGAAGTCACATCCTCCCACAACTACAGCAATGAGGACAGAACCTTCTCTGGAAGGAAGAACTACGTTCTGGCATGTGGCAAGAGAAGCTCCTTTCTAACCATTTACTACTGCCAGAGAGGCAATGCAAGCTCTTTGTGAAAAATGCGTATTTTATGATTGGCTTTTCGCAAACATTAAAGTGAGTATTATATGTGTTACGTTAGAAAGTAATGCTGTATTAATTTTTTAAGTAGTGTGTTAAATATAGTTGTAGGTTATAACATAATGTTAAAATAGAAACTTTGCTATGTAGGATACTTTTTTTCTAAAGAAAGGACTGGCACTGAGATAGCAGCCACAGGACACCTGAATCTTTCAGAGAAAGAGAATTTATTGCTCCATTATCAGAACAAACGAACTTCTTCCTGCCTCACTCAGCCCTGAAGAGCTGTCAGGATTCAGAGGAAGCAGCTGACACTGCCCAGACAGAATCCTGTGTTTGAATGGAATTGATGCATCATGGATGAGGTGTATGAATATGCAACAGGCTGTTGTTTTTAAGGGTTAATCCTCTGTTAACATGGGTCCTTTCTGGGCTTATTTTGCCCAGAAAAGGTACCCAGACATCCGTAACTCTTTGTTTCTATTGTCTTGTATTGTTCTAATTCAAATCGTCCAAATTATTATTACTCTAATTATATTACTATATTTATAACCATTTTATTCCTATTAAAAAACAAGCGATTGGCATTTTTCACGCCTTGGCAATGGCTATAAAGTGGTCCCAGTGTTTCAGAGCACAGTGCAGCCCCACTCTGGGAGGGAGGCTCTGCCTCCTGCATGGAAGGCCTGGTGGTACCTGTGCTGGTGGTGCCTGAGCTGGTGGTGCCTGAGCTGGTGCACCTGAGCTGGTGTGCTGCACAGGGCCCACAGCTCAGCCCAGCCCCGTACCTGTTGGTGTCCCAGATGATGACGTTGCCATCGAAGCCCGAGGTGACCAGCAGCCTGGTGTTGGTGTCGTACTCGATGTTCTTGACCCAGCTGGTGTGGCCATGCAGCGTGCACACTTTGGTGTTGAGCTTCCTCAGGTCCCAGAGCGCGATGGTGGTGTCGTCGGAGCACGTGGCGAACAGGCGGTTATCCAGGAACCTGCCAGGAGGGAACAGCTCAGGGCGCCCTGCAGGGCACCACAGAGACACCAGGGCAGCCCCAACAAACCCCTGTGAACTCAGTACACAGACAACAGGGCAGCCCCAACAAACCCCGCTGAGCTCAGCACGGAGACACCAGGGCAGCCCCAACAAACCCCGCTGAACTCAGCACACAGACACCAGGGCAGCCTCAACAAACCCCTGTGAACTCAGTACACAGACACCAGGGCAGCCCCAAACAAACCCCTGTGAACTCAGTACACAGACACCAGGGCAGCCCCAAACAAACCCCGCTGAACTCAGCACACAGACACCAGGGCAGCCCCAACAAACCCCTCTGAACTCAGCACAGAGACACCAGGGCAGCCCCAACAAACCCCACTGAACTCAGCACAGAGACACCAGGGCAGCCCCAACAAACCCCTGTGAACTCAGTACACAGACAACAGGGCAGCCCCAACAAACCCCGCTGAGCTCAGCACACAGACACCAGAGCAGCCCCAAACAAACCCCGCTGAACTCAGCACAGAGACAACAGGGCAGCCCAAACAAACCCCTGTGAACTCAGCACAGAGACACCAGGGCAGCCCCAACAAACCCCGCTGAACTCAGTACACAGACAACAGGGCAGCCCAAACAAACCCCTGTGAACTCAGCACACAGACACCAGAGCAGCCTGAACAAACCCCTATGAACTCAGCACAGAGACACCAGCCCCAAATAAACCCCCTCTGAACCAGCGAGCACAGAGAGAGCAGCCCCAACAAACCCCTCTGAACTAGCCAGCACAGAGATATCAGAGCAACCCCAAATAAATCCCCTCTGAACTCAGCACAGAGAGAGCAGCCCCAAACCCCCTCTGAACTCAGCACAGAGACACCAGGGCAGCCCAAACAAACCCCTCTGAACTCAGCACACAGACACCAGAGCAGCCCCAAATAAACCCCCTCTGAACTCAGCAAAGAGAGAGCAGCTCCAACAAACCCCTCTGAACTAGCCAAACTAGCCAAAACAGAGACAGCAGCCCAACCCCCCTCTGAACTCAGCACAGAGAGAGCAGAGCAGCCTCAAATCCCCTCTGAACTAGCCAAAACAGAGATACCAGAGCAGCCCAAACAAAGCCCTCTGAACCCAGCACAGAGCACACACCAGCAGCAGCTCCACTGCAAGCACAACTGCTGGGGTATGAACCAGCAGCGCCTCTGGAGCAAACACAGAGGCACAGCACAAGTTTGGCTTGGGGTTTTTTAGGTGGTTTGTGTGCCAATGAATTGTGTGCCAGCCACACAAGAGCCAAAGCACCGAAGGAGCAGGTGCTCAGACTGCACCCCAGCCTGCTCCCCCTCTGCACAGCACTCAGCTCACTGGGGCTGGCAGCAACACAGCTGGGAAATCAATGGCATAAACACAGCCTAGAGCTTCCCGAGGCAAATGCAAGGCCTTCCAAAAACACTGAGTGAGGATGGTGTCTCGTTTGAGCACACCCCAACACAAGTTACTGGGCTCAGTGAGAAAATGAGTGGATGGAATCACTGAGTTTGCAGATCAAAGGTGAGCACCACTGGAACCCAGGTGTGCCTTCAGCTTCAGAAGGACAGGGCACGCTGGCTCATGTTTGGGATTCATTTGGTGAAAGCGCTCCATTGAGAAAAGCCCTACCTGAGGTAAAAGGAACAAGACACCCATCCAAAAAAACACACAATAAAAATCCTTCAGGCCCAGAGCTACACCACAGCAACAGCAACCAACTGTCACGGAAAAAACCCCAAACTTTGGTGAACAGTAAGCAGTTTTGGTGCTGACCACGAGGAACCCCTGCAGTGCCTGTAACCCTGCTCACTGAGCTGAGCAAGGCTCCAGGTAATGCTGTATAAATTGTGCAGGACAGAGGTCAGCTCCTCTGTGCCACACAAACACACGTTTTAACCCAGCTTTCCTGACACACTCCCAGCTGATGTAAAACATCAGTCTTCTGTAAAAAGTACAACCAGCTTGTGAAAAACATCAACTTATCTGAGGGACATGGCACCCCACATCATATTTGGCTCTTCTGAGTGAAAACACTCAGAATGTTCTACAGTTTTCATGGGGCTTTTTGTTTGGGTTTAGTTCTTGGTTGAAGCTTTTTTGTTGCTGTGTAGTCAGTTGTTGGTTTGGGGTTTTGGAGTGGGTTTTTTTGCTTTGAGAATCTGAGTGAAGAGCAGCTGGAATACTGTTAGAAGACGCCTTAAAATCACACCTCAAAATCTACTACCAGAACAACTTAAACCCCCTGAATTTAAAAGGAAAAATATGACATGATAAAAACAGTGATGGATTTAGAGTCTGCTCCTGCTATTTCCAGCTCTATCCCAAGAAGGAGTAAGATTTAAATTGTAATGCTTAAGCATAGGCAGAGCTGTGCCAAAAGGTCTCTCCCGACTCACCTGATGTTGTTGACACAGTCCTCGTGAGCTTCAGAGAGAGTCTTGATGTGCTTTGAAGATATGGGGTCAAAGAGCAGGACCTCAGTCTGTTCACAGGCCACGGTCAGCACGGAACTGCAGGGAGCACAACACAAAACCCCACGTTTGTGGTGGGTTCTGCCCTCCACCTGTGTCACCTGGTGCCTCTGCCCACACCGCCCAGGGGCTCTGAGACAGGAAAGGTAACACCGAACCAAAGGTTTATCTGCAAATCAGTGGGGTTTTTTCACTAAAACCTTGCAAATACAGATTTATCAGCACCAGGGGACTCCCAGCAGCAGCTGGAGGAGGACTGTCACCCCGGTCCCCTCCTCCTGGACACGGAGAGGCTCCACTGCAGGAGAGCTGGGAGATGCACAGCAGGACACCTAACACCAGGTGCGTGCCCCAGTCCTTTAAAGCACAGCCCAGGGGTGCTGCTGATGCACACAGCGATGACACCTGGTCACCAGAACGGGCCCTGCGCCTCGGGATCCGGGGCACACCTGGAAGGGCATCCCAGGCACACCTGGGCGGGGGGATCCAGGGCACACCTGGGCGGGGGGATCCCCCGGCACACCTAGAAGGGCATCCCCCGGCACACCTGGGCGGGGACTCCCGGGGCACACCTGAAAGGGCATCCCAGGTACATCTGGGCGGGGATCCCCCGGACACACCTGGGCGGCGGGATCCAGGGCACACCTGGCAGGGAGCCGCAACACGCCGCCCCCCGGGATGCGGCACACCTACCCGTCGGGCGAGTACTCGAGGTTGAAGACGGCGCCGTGCGTGCGGGTGCTGAGGGACACGGAGTCGGCGGGCTGGATGGCGCCGTACAGCCCGGTCATGGCGCCGAACGTGTCCCGCGCCGGGTCCACGGCGGCCCCGCGGCCCAGGCAGCGCCCGCGCAGCCAGGCGAAGAGGCCGCCGGGGGCGGCGGGCCCGGTGTCGGCGGGGTCGGCGTGGCTGCGGGGCTGCGGCTCCGGGCCCGGCTCCGGGGCTACCTGAGGGCCCGACTCCGGCCCCGGGCCCGTGCTCATGGCGGCGGCGGTAGCGCCCGCCCGCGTCCGCCCCCTGCCGGCCGCCCCGCCGCACTGCGCCTGCGCCGCCCCGCCCCCGCCCCGCCCCTGCCGAGTCGGAGAGGCACCGCGCCTGCGCCGCCCCGCCCCAGGCCCCGCCCACGCGGTCACCTGCTCACCGCCCCACATGAGCGCGGTGTTTCAGGGTCCGGCCGCTCCGAGCGGCCCTGGGAAATAGCCCCGAACCGAGGCGGGCCGAGCCGAACTGCACCGAACCACAGCGAGCCACACCGAGCGGAACCGAACCGAGCAGAGCCGAACCCAGCTGAACAGGACAGAACCGACCTGAACCGACACCGAAGCGAGCCGAGCGGAACTGAACTGAACTGAACTGAGCCGAGCCGAGCCAAACTGGGCCCAGCCGAGCCCAACCAAGCCGAACCGTACCCAGCCGAACTGAGCCGAGCTGAACTGAGCCAAACCGAGTCGAACCAAACCAAACTGAACTGAATGGAAAATGCAAACCCCCTCCCTCTGAATTGTTATGATTTTGAAAATAAGGGGCTCTCAGGCAAAGATATGAGAATAGGAATAACAGGTCTGTACTAGGAAAATTAAAAATACACAAAAACAAACCACTGCCAGAGTGAGAGCAGGGCCTGTCCCCCTGTGTGTCAGGGGGTGGCACAGCCCCATCCCATGGGGGCTCAGCCCTCCTGCAGTGCCAGCTGTGGCTCTGCTGGAGCAGGGATCCTGCACAAGGGGGGAGTTTTCCTCTGCAGCTCCAGGGCTGCTGCAGATGGGCCTGGGCTCCCTCTGGCCATGCAGGGCAGCAGAAGCTGCTCCTCTGGCAATGCCCTGGGCAAAGGCTGCTGGGCTGTGCCAAAGCTCAGATTGGATCCAGGTAGGAATGCTTGGCTCCTCCCCTGGGCGGAGCATCTCCCCATGGGATGATGGGATTGGATCAGCCCTGCAGGGACACTCAGTGGCTATGGACAGAAGGTAATTAATAATGAATGGCCCATGAACAGCAGAGATCTCCTGGAGGGAGGGTTGGCTGTGGGAGAGATAAAGAAAAAACTGCCCCATGAACAGCAGAGAACTGCCCCAGCTCTGACAGATGGAAATAGAGCACACACATATCTTACAATATAGGGCAGGGTGTGCCCCAGGAACGAGCCCTCCATGGGGACAGCCCCTCCAGCCCCAGCACCCTTTGTTCTCCTAAAGACAATTAGCACCAGTTTTTTTCCAAAACTACCCAGGGAAGGTCAGGGTTCCTCCTCCCCACAAAAGCCACGGCTTTAGTGGACTGTGAATATTTCTCCTTAAGTTTCTATAAACATAACTGACATAATATTTTCATAAACACATTAAATATCAATGTGTTTTTTAAACAGAGTGTCCTGAGAGTGTGGAAGCTGCTACTAAAACCTGATTGGGAAGGAGGAGTGTGGAGAGGCCTCCCTGGTCTGCTCCCATGCTGGAGGGTGCAGGACAGGTGCCCTGAGGATGGACCTGTCACAGCCCCAGGCCTCGAGCCCCAGGGCAGGACCAGCCCCTCCTCTGGTGTTGGATAATGCCTTTTTCTGACCCAGAGATGGGGCAGCTGAGAGGTGTTTTCAAAACTCCTATGCCATTTTCAGTCTCACGAGAAGGGTGAGACAATACAGATGTTATAATTCACTCCATCACAATCAGAAGCCAACTATTTCCTAATTACAATTCACTGTAAGAGTTTCTTGGCCTGTCAGCTTTGGCCACACCATGCTGTAGATGCCTTAAAGCCAATTATCTAAAACTACCCCTCGTGGGTGTCACTACAGTGCATCTTTCACAGTTCTGTTTCTCCACAGTATCCAGCCCTATTTGCAAGGCCACCCTTTGTAGCTTGTTTCTAGCTCCATTTCTCTCTCAGCAATGTCTGTCCATTCCTTCCATGGCATTTCTAAGCCAGCATTTATTGTCTCAAAGTTTGCATATGGATGCACACTGAGCCTTCTGTCAGGCTTTGAGAACACTACAAATCCATTTCCCACACTCTGGGGTCTGTTACATGCTGGGAGTGCCGCTGTGACCTCTGTCTGATCCCCAAAATGCTCCTTCTGTCCCCTGCAGACAAACTCAGTTTCCTTCAAAATATTCTTTGTCCCCTGCATGTTCCCCCAGGTCTTACCCCAGAATTTTCTCTACCTGTCTACTGCTGACCACTTTTGCCTCAAAATTGCCAGCTCAGTCTTGGGTGTGCCTCATTCCTGGGGCCTTGATCCTGGTCACCACAGAGACCTGCCCCAGTCACAGGGAGAGGGGCCACTGGAGCAGGGTGTGGGGCCAGGAGGAGCCCCAGAGTGTGCAGGGGTGGTGGGGCCTGCTTGGAGCCCCAGCTGTTCATGGACAAACAGGGCAAGAGCACAGAGCAGGACATTAAAGCTCGGGGCTTTCTCAGCAGAGCCCTCTGGGGAGTGTGAAATGTGCTCCTGAGGCTGCCTCAGGCTAACATGGGTGCTCTGCTAGGAAACTATGAAAAATGTGTATTTTGTGATTGGCTTTTTGCAGATATTACAGTGAATATTATCTGTGTTCTGTCAGAAAGTTATGCTGTATTAATTCTCTTAAGTGATGTGTTAAATATAGTTTTTAGTTATAACAAAACGTTAAAATAGAAACTATGATATGTAAGATACTTTTTTAAAGAAAGGACTGGCAGTGACATAGCAACCACAGGACACCTGAATCTTTCAGAGAAAGAGAATTTATTGCTCCATTATCAGAACAAATGAACTTCTTCCTGCCTCACTCAGCCCTGAAGAGCTGTCAGGATTCAGAGGAAGCAGCTGACACTGCCCAGACAGAATCCTGTGTTGGAATGGAATTGATGCATCATGGATGAGGTGTATGAATGTGCAACAGGCTGTTGTTTTAAGGGTTAATCCTCTGTTAACCTGGGGCCTTTTTCAGGCTTATTTTCCCAGAAAAGGTACCCAGACTGTCCATAACTCTTTGTTTCTATTGTCTCATATTGTCCTAATTCAAATTGTCCAAATTATTATTACTCTAATTGTATTACTATTTCTATAACCATTTTATTCCTATTAAACTATTAAAACTTTAAAAGCAAGTGATTGGCATTTTCAAAGAAACAAAAGATGAGTCAGTGTTGCAGCTAACCTCGTGAGTGGGACACAGCCCCCTGCCTCATGGAACCCCCATCCTGCAGAGACACCACAGCACCTCCAGCCCCATGCCGTGAGCTGGAAGGAGTTTGCAGTGAGTGCAGCCTCCTCAGTGCCAGCCAGGTGTGCTGGAAGGGGTTTCCAGCCAGTCAGGTGTGTTGTATTTGCAGGGAATGCCCGACAAAGGTGGGAATGATGAGTCTGACTCCATGTTCTCAGAAGGCTAATTTATTACTTTATTATACGATATTATATTACACAATACTATGCTATACTAAAGAATACAGAAGGGATACTTACAGGAGGCTAAAAAGATAATAATGAAAACTCCTGAGTCTTTCCAGAGTCCCGACACAGCTTGGCCCTGATTGGCCAAAGAGTGAAAACAACTCACAGCAGAATCCAATGGAACAATCACCTGTGGGTAAACAATCTCCAAACACATTCCAGACAAGCACAACACAGGAGAAGCAAATGAGATAATATTGTTTTCCTTTTCTCTGAGGCTTCCCAGCTTCCCAGGAGAAAAACCCTGGGCAAAGGGATTTTTTTCAGAGAATGTGAATGCCAGTCATGTGTGTGCTGGGCTGTTGGTGATGGGGAGAGGCAGGGACACTGATGATGATCAGAATCCCATTTTACTGTGGGACACAAACGTTTCAGCCCCCACAGCTGCTGGTAAAGCCCAGGTAAGGGAGCACAAAGGGCCTTGCATGGCACCCACAGGTGTTTGATTGATTCAGCCGTGCAGGGAGGCAAGCAGGCCCCAGGCACACCCACAGGCAGGGCCCAGGTGTGTCTGTCCCCAGGCCCGGGGTCACCCTGGTCTCAGGGCAGTGCAGAGATCAGGGAACAGGGAGGGAGCAGCTCAGGGGCACAGGGACAGACACAGGGACAGACACAGGGACAGACACAGGGGCAGGGCAAGGAGCCAGGGGGCTCTGACAGCTTTTGGGGGAGCTGCTTCTGTCCCCAGGGCCGGGGTCACCCTGGTCTCAGGGCAGTGCAGAGATCAGGGATTGGGGAGGGAGCAGCTCAGGGGCACAGGGACAGACACAGGGACAGACACAGGGACAGACACAGGGACAGGGCAAGGAGCCAGGGGGCTCTGACAGCTTTTGGGGGGAGCTGCTTCTGTCCCCAGGGCCCAGGGTCACCCTGGTCTCAGGGCAGTGCAGAGATCAGGGACTGGGGAGGGAGCAGCCCAGGGACACAGGGACAGACACAGGGACAGACACAGGGACAGACACAGGGACAGGGCAAGGAGCCAGGGGGCTCTGACAGCTTTTGGGGGAGCTGCTTCTGTCCCCAGGGCCCGGGGTCACCCTGGTCTCAGGGCAGTGCAGAGATCAGGGAACAGGGAGGGAGCAGCTCAGGGGCACAGGGACAGACACAGGGACAGACACAGGGACAGACACAGGGACAGGGCAAGGAGCCAGTGGGCTCTGACAGCTTTTGGGGGAGCTGCTTCTGTCCCCAGCCCAGGGGATGCCCCGGGGTCTCCACATACCAACACTTCCATGCTGTCTTAGGGAGACCAGCAGGGTGTACTGACTGCAGTGAGTGGGTTACAATCACAGACTCAAACTAATGCATACAGCAACATCCTGGCTTGCAGAGTTTGATGGGATTTTCTTTTTCCAGTAAACCTGCTTGACTGAATCTTCTTGCAATCCAGGTCTAATTTTCAAAGTTCTTTTGCTTTTGCCAGGGCATCCTATTATCAAATCTCTGATGTTGAGCAGGTGCAGAGTCCCTCATCTGTCCTGTGTCCCCCAGCACCCAGCACTGGGCCTGCCTGGACACCCTGGTGTGCCCTGGGGCTGGGTTCCCTGCTCTGCTCTCAGCGTGAGGGTGATGCTGATCATCTCTGGAGCCTGTGGATGCTGCTGGCACTGCTGATCCTGACAAGGGCTTTCCCTCTCCTGCCCTGACTGCAGCCAGGACAGCTGGTCACAGCTGGGCCAGCTCTGGTTTATATCCCCTCCCTTTACGTTCCTCCATTTCAGATACTGAGCATGACACCACAGAGTGGGGATGCGGATTTCCAGATCTGTCTGGGGGCTGCTGCTCACGACCTGGCCAGCCAGCAGTCACTTGGCTTCCTGCAGTTCCAGCCAGACGGTTGTGCTGGTCATGCAATTCGTCCACTTTTTCCAAATCAGAAGTCATTTTTTGTGATTCATTGCCTATCCAGATGCCAATAGTTATCCAAATTCCATCCGCTTATGTCTGTCTGCATAGGCACAGTATAATGGGACAGAAAAGGAAGAATAACGATAAAATAATTCAAATATACAAAGCAGGGGTGCACGATGGAGGAGCATCCTTGGGAAGCTGTCCCCAGCTGACCAGCCCGGTGGCGTCTGTTGTGTGAGCTGTTGACTCCGCACGGCGACAAACAAACAGGGAGCGGAGAGCGGCACGGAGCGGCACCGGAGCCGACCCGCTGGGCGGGAGAACGGGCAGGGAGGCAGCGGCAGCACGATCGGCCCGCCGGGGCGGTGCCGCAGCGCGGGGGGACGGACAGACCGCCCCGAGCCCGCCCCTTCCGTGCCGGCGGCGCGATGGAGGCCGGGGTGGCGGCGGCCACGGAGCCGGCGGCGGTGGCGAAGGGCACGGAACCGGCGGTGGGCACGGAGCCGGCGGCGAGCGAGGCGGAGGCGGTGGCCGAGGCGGAGGCGGCGGTGGTGGCGGAGGCGCTGCGGCTGCTGCGGATCGAGCCCTCGGCCGCGGGCGATGCCAGCGCGGGGCGGGCGGGCGACGCGGCGGAACCGTGTTCGGTGCGTGCGGCGGGGCCGGGCTCGGTGCTCGGTGCGTGTGGCGGGGCCGGGCTGGGTGCTCGGTGTTCGGAGCGCCCCGGCCCCGCTGAGCTCGGTGCCCGCTCCCCCCGCAGAGGAACGCGCTGCGGAAGCGGCGGCGCTGGCAGCGGGTTCTCGCCGCCCGGCGCGGGAAGCGGCAGCAGGAGCGGCAGCGCCGCCGGGCACGGCGGGCAGCGGGGGACGGGCACGGCCCGGGAGCGGCGCTCGGCAGCGGCCCCGGCGGGCCCGGGCCGCCGTCCGTCCGCCGCGGGAGGGTTCCGGCCGCCCTGGCCACCGAGCGGCTGCTGCAGGCGAGGGCGGCGGGGCCGCGGCTCTGCGTGGACCTCGGCGTGGGCGGCGGCATGAGCGAGAAGGTGCGGGGGTCCCGGGCAGGCTGCTCGGCGGTTCGGGGCTCCCGGGGCTGCTCGGGGGTTCGGGGCTCCGGGGGCTGCTCGAGGGTCCCGGGGCTGCTCGGGGGTTCGGGGCTCCGGGGGCTGCTCGGGGGGGGGGGGGGTCCCGGACAGGCTGCTCGGGGTTTACTCGAGGGGTCCCGGACGCGCTGCTCGGGGGTCCCGGACAGGCTGCTCTGGGTTTGCTCGGGGGTCCTGGACAGGCTGCTCGGGGCGGGGTCCCGGGCAGGCTGCTCGGAAGGTGCTCGGGGGTCCGGGGGCTGCTCGGGGCTCCGGGGGCTGCTCGGGGTTTGCTCAGGGGTCCCGGACGCGCTGCCCTCCGCCCGTCCCTACTGCGGGCAGCGGGAGCTCGGCGGAGCCGCCCTGGGCCTCCGGGCGCCGTGTGGCCGAGCTCGGCCCGGATCGCAGCCCGGCCCCGGGTCACCGTGCCGCCGTGTCCCCAGGAGAGCGGCCGCCTGGCCTCCCAGATCCGGCGGCTCTACGGGGCGAACCGCCGCGCCGCCCGGCCCTTCTGGCTGTGCCTGACCGGGTTCGCGGCCGGGACGCCCATCTACGAGCAGTGCTTCCGCATGAACGACGGCTTCGCGGGGTACCTGGTGAGGCTCTGGCCGCGGCATCGGGGACAGCCCAGCCCTGGGCTCTGCGTCTTGTGTAGGACTAGTCAGTTGTTGCTGCTCTCCCTTTCTCAAAGCACCCCGAGAACTTCTGAGGAGGGGAGAATTTAATGGAGTTTTTAGGTGTGTTGATCAGTGCCTAGGACAGAGACATTGTCCATTTGGAAAAGAAAAACCCTAGGTCATTGGAGATGTGTAGGATCTACAGGGCCTTTAGCGGTTTGTGTGTCCAAAGCAGCAGTGTCAGTGCTGGGATAGGGGGGTGTCTGTGTGATAGCAGTGGGGCTGATAGCAGTGTCTGTGTCTGGGAGGGGGCTTTGTTCTGGCAGAGGTACCTCAGGCTGACCTCGGAGATCTGTAGGATCTACAGGGCCTTTAGCAGTGTCAATGTCCAAAGCAGCAGTGCCAGTGCTGGGATGTCTCTGTGTCTGGGAAGGGGCTTTGTTCTGGCAGAGGTACCTGAGGCTAATGGGCTGCTTCACTCTGTCTTGTGTTTTCGAGATGGATACAACTCCAGAGAGTTACCTGGACCTGTTTCCTTTGGAGGCCATTGTTTATCTCACTCCTGACTCTGAGAATGGCAAGTATTTCACTTTAGCAAAGGGAGAGCCAGGGCAAAAGGCTGACTTTTAGAAATTTGTGTTTGAGGCCATTCCATGCTTCAGGCAAGCTGTTCCTCACTGGGCTGTCTCACATGGCATGAGCCATTCTGTGTGCTCAGATCTGGTGCTGAATCTGTGCTGGTGGGACCTGTGTGCCCCAGGCTGGAGCCCCCGGGGCGAGGAGGCTCTGCCCAGGGCTGTCCTTGGGCCTGTGTGCTGGGAGAGCTCTGGGGTGACTGCTGCTCTTTGCAGTGCTGGAAGACATCGACCCGAGCAAGGTGTACGTGCTGGGAGGGCTGGTGGACGAGAGCATTCACAAGGTGCGTGCGTGGTGCCTGCCCCGTTGGCAGGCACATCCCACACCCAGCCCCTTGCCCTCAAGCTCTGCCAGCAGCCAGCAGCCAGCTGGGAGAGGCTGCAGCAGCACAGGTGTGAGCCCTGGGGCAGGTGTGGCTGGGTGCCCTCTCGGGCCGCGTGTGAGGCCGTGTGTCCGTGTGTCCCTGCAGGAGCTGACCCTGCGGAGGGCGCGGGAGCAGCACCTGCAGACAGCCCGGCTGCCCATCCGTGAGTACATGGTGAGAGCCCCCAACGCCAGGAACTACCACTCCGAGACACTGGCCATCAACCAGGGTGAGGGGCTGCTGGGGCTGGGGGCTCACACAGGGGCTGGGGGCTCACAGGGGGCTGGGGGCTCACACAAGGGCTGGGGGCTCACACAGGGGGCTCACACAGAGGGGCTGGGGGCTCACACAGGGCTGTCTGTGTGCCCTGCTCCCCGTGCACGAGGCAGGGACACTCGGGTGCAGGGACACTGGGGTGCAGGGGCTGCTCTGGGGACAGGCCACAGAGGGATGGGCACTCCTGAGGCCCCCTCAGCCGGGTCTGACAATGGCAGGCGGGGGTGTCCTGTGTCCCCACGGGCTGGCACTGCTGGGCACAGCAGAGGATGTGCTCCTGCCCCTCTGCAAGGTGAATGAATGCCTCTCTGCTGGCGACTGCAGAGGGGCTCATGACCCAGGCCAGCTCCTCAAGGTTCTTAGCCCTGACGTGAGGGCTGTGTTGCCATGGACAGAGGGCAGAGGAAGTGGCGGGAGGCTCTGTGTGCCTCGCTGCCTGGCGGTGGCAGTGGGAGCGCAGCAGGCGTGGCTCACTGCAGGTGCCACATGTCAGCCAAGACAGTGATGGGGACACATTGCTCTAGGGAACACAGCCACCTGCTTGGCCCAGAGCTCCCTAGAGTCCAGTCCAAAATGCCTGTGTGCCCCCGGTGAGCTGGCAGCTCACCATGTGTGAGGTGGGGCAGCTGCCCTGGGTCAGCTGCCATCACCTCCCTCATGTTTGGTGGGTGTGTGGAGAGCTGGCACCACCGTCAGTCACAGCACGTGTGTGACCAGCACCTCTGTGCCCTGGCAGTCTTTGACGTCCTGTCCACCTTCTACGAGACGCGGAGCTGGCCAGCAGCTCTGAGGGCTGGGGTTTCCTCTGGGAAGGGCTACGTGCTCCCGGACACAGCGCATCAGGCGGAGACAGCCCCGAGCACCACTGCTGCCCAAGGAAATGCTTTATTGCATGGAGAGGAGCTGCACAGGCAGGAAGCACCAGCGTGACCGTGCACAGCAGACAGCTGTTCGCAGCAGGACCTCGTTGGAGCAACACCTTCTACCTCAGGACTGCGGTGCTGGACATCGCCGTGCCCCCGAGCAGGGAGGAAAGCCTGGGATCAAGTGAAAACTGACAGGAATTCAATTCTTCGCTTCTTCGTAGCTGTTCATTCATGACTCCTGCATCTACACTTGTTCTGAGGTGGGGAGGAGAGCTATAGGGTGTTTGCTTCTTTTTACTGAAACAGGGTAAGGTGCAGCTGGGGTTGCAAAGCTTTTGGGCAAGGCAGAGGCCCTGCATGGGACAGAGAAGGCAGGATGGGGAGCAGCTCCCAAGGGCACTGTGGCCCTGCAGCTTAAACCCACGGACACTTGGTGGGTTGTCAAAGCCTTTGGCAAGTTGTACGCATCTAATATAAAAGGTTTGGATCCCCATTGTGTCCCTACTGATGAGTGGTGCCTCGCCACAGCTGGCACACGCAGGGCCCTGAGCCCTGTGTTCCTGCTGGGAGGCACCTGGGCCTGGCTGTGCCCTGCAGGGTATACCTGCCAAGGCACAGCAGGAGTGTGTTTGGTGCAGCTGGGCCAATGCATTACCTCAGCCACTGCTGCCACAGGAGCCCTGAAGCCTCATGGCCAGTGGCAGCAGGACCTGCAGGTCACCTGAGGTAAGGCTGGTATTGTGTTTTCATTCCTGTCTCATGGCAAACCCTTCCACAGCCCGGGGTGTGTGTCCGGCTGTGTGTGACAGGGGAGTGCAAGAGCAGGGGGGTTTAACCCAGCTTTGAGGTTTAACCCAAACCAGGGTTAACCTGAGGCTAAGCCACCACGGGGGCTCCGAGTGTTTCTGTGCTGTGCCCGGGGGCTCTTGGCCAGCTGGGTGTGGAGATGATCCCCATCAGTCACTGTCCCCGAGCCAGGGGACAGCCCTGTCCCCACCTGTGTCCGAGGCAGGGACAGGCCTGTCCCCACCTATCCCCGAGGCAGGGACAGCCCTGTCCCCACCTGTGTCCGAGCAAGGGGACAGCCCTGTCCCCACCTATCCCCAAGCCAGGGGACAGCCGTGTCCCCACCTGTGCCTGAGGCAGGGAGAGCCCTGTCCCCACCTGTGTCCGAGCCAGGGGACAGCCATGTCCCCACCTGTGTCCGAGCCAGGGGACAGCCCTGTCCCCACCTGTGTCCGAGCCAGGGGACAGCCATGTCCCCACCTGTGTCCGAGGCAGGGGACAGCCATGTCCCCACCTGTGTCCGAGGCAGGGACAGCCCTGTCCCCACCTATCCCCAAGCCAGGGGACAGCCGTGTCCCCACCTGTGCCCGAGGCAGGGGACAGCCGTGTCCCCACCTGTGCCTGAGGCAGGGACAGCCCTGTCCCCACCTGTGCCTGAGGCAGGGACAGCCATGTCCCCACCTATCCCCGAGGCAGGGACAGCCCTGTCCCCACCTGTGTCCGAGGCAGGGACAGCCCTGTCCCCACCTGTGCCTGAGGCAGGGGACAGCCCTGTCCCCACCTGTGTCCGAGGCAGGGACAGCCGTGTCCCCACCTGTGCCCGAGGCAGGGGCAGCCCTGTCCCCACCTGTGCCCGAGGCAGGGACAGCCATGTCCCCTCCTGTGCCCGAGGCAGGGGACAGCCCTGTCCCCACTGTGCCCGAGGCAGGGACAGCCATGTCCCCACCTGTGCCTGAGGCAGGGACAGGCCTGTCCCCACCTGTGTCCGAGGCAGGGACAGCCCTGTCCCCACCTGTGCCCGAGGCAGGGGACAGCCATGTCCCCACCGTGCCTGGGCAGAGGTGCTGCCATCACTGGAGCCCACGCGTGCCCCTCAGCTGCCCCCACAGCTCCGTGGGCAGAGGCAGCCGCCCCCCATCATCCCCAGGCTGGGTCAGAGCAGGCGGGACCGGCTGTGCCCTCCCGGCCCGGTGCCCCGCGGGGAGGCACGGCCGGGCTGAGCGGCACCTGCGGCGGGGGCACGGGGCTGCTCCCGGCCGGGGAGCCCCCCACGGGCCCTGCCCAGCCCTGGCCGGGCTCGGGCTCGCCCTGCCTGCGGCCGGGGGCGCTCCGGGGCGGGCGGAGCCGGTGCCGCTCTCACTGGGGCTGCCTCAGCAACCGCGGGGCAGCGGCAGCGGCAGCGGCAGCAGCTGCAGCGCACCCTGCGCGGCTGAGGAAAAGCGGATGCACTGGGATCGCTGTGTTCCCTCGGCCGCCCAGGCGGAGAAAGCCACCCGGGCCCGTCACATTGGGGCAGGGCGGGTTTCGGTGTCCCTCCCTCCGGTGCGGTGCAGAGCCTGCCCGGGAGCAGCCCGAGTCCAAGGCAGGCTGAAGGGCTGCTCCCCGCGGGGGGCAGAGGCAGCCGAGAGAACGCGGTGAGCCTGACCACCCGCACAGCCCGTGGGACGAGCCCCGGCGAGGACACACACACTGAAGGGCTCCAAGAGCAGCTGGAGCACGGCTGCCCTTGGGGAGCCCCGCCAAATGTGTGGGCACGTCCTGCCGTGGCCATGCTGGGCTGAACATCGCCTGGGGGACAGCCTGAGGCGGGCAGAGGGCACACACCTGCCTCTGTCCCCCCCGGTGCCCCCGTCACAGCCTCGGGGACGCCCTGAACTGCTGCAGGAGGCAGAGGATGGCAGCGGCCAGGGCCGAGTGCTGGCGGGCCAGCAGCCTGGCGCCCATCTCGGGGCACACCTGCCCGTGCAGCTGCTGCTGCAGGGCCTGCACCAGCTGCTGGTAGGTGCCCACCACGTGCCCCAGGGCAGCTCCCAGCTCCTGCTGGCGCTGCCCGCACTGCTGGCAGCGTGTCACCTGGAAGCAGGTCACTGCCAGCTGCACCAGGCGGTCAAAGGTGGCTCTCAGGGCACACTGCACCTCGGGCAGGGGCTGCTCCGGGCTCAGCAGCGCCTGGCAGCTGGACAGCAGCTCCTGGGAAGCGCAGCCCAGGGCTCCCTTGCTCTCCACGCCCTGCTCCGCACACTGGTGGTGCAGGTGGGTGGCCTGGCTGCCACAGAGCTTCCCCACAACCTCCTGCAGCTCCACGGTGTAGGCCAGGAAGCATGAGAGATCCGCAGGGCTGGTCCACGCCTGCTCCTGCAGCTGCCCGAGCGCTCGCATGTGTGTGTCCTGCCCTGCCCTGTCCCCAGCAATGGACAAACCGCTCCCAGGGGTCCTGGCAAGGCTGCAGCTGCTGGAGGGTGGGCAGGTGAGGGGCCCTGGCAGCTGGAGGGGGCTGGTTTCACACTCCCCCCGGTTGTGGGGCTGGGGGAAGCAGCTGATGTAGGGCAGGTGGCAGCCGCAGCTCTCCAGCCCCCGTGGAGCTGGGGAGGGCCGGGCAGAGATGGGGGGCAGAGAGGTCTGCTCACCCTCCTCGGGGTTAAAACAGGGGAACGAGTGTTTTACAGCCCCGTGGTCTCCTGCTCCTTTCCCCGGGGCAGCTGGGACCGAGGAGATGCAGAGCCCTGCAGCTGCAGGCAGGCAGGAGTCCTGGCCCAGCCCTGCCGCCTGCCCCCGGGGAAGGGGAGCCTGAGCAGGCTGTGGCTGCTGCTGAGCCACAGTCCCTGCACCTCCTGGCTGCCCTGCACCTGGCCCCGAGCTGCTCACCAGCTCCCTGGCACAGCCCGCTCCTGCTGCAGGGGATGCGGGCACCTTCCTGCCACCAGCACCGGCCCCGCTGCACCCGCTGGGCATCACACAGCCCAGGGGCTCAGGGGGGACACTGGCCCTGTCCTGCAGGCTGTGTGACACGGGGCTGTGTGACACGGGGGCTGTCCTCACCCCCAGTGCCAGCCAGGAGAGGTGGGTGAGAGCCCCCGGGGCGCTGCTGCAGCCTGCCAGGAGCTGGGCTGTGTCGGGGAGCCCCATGTGCCCCCCGTGCACCCTCAGCAGGGTCTGCCTGCTCACCCTCTGCCAGCCCCTGGCCCGGGACACGGCCCCACTGCAGCTGCTGCTGGCACAGCCCTGGCTGTCAGCATGGAGCTGGCCATCAGCATGGAGCTGGCCATCAGCATGGCACTGACCAGGGGCATGGCACTGACCATCAGCATGGCACTGAACATCACCATGGCACTGACCATCAGCATGGCACTGACCTTTGGCACGGCCCTGGCTGTCAGCATGGCACTGACCAGGGGCATGGCACTGACCATCAGCACGGACCTGCCCACGGGCACAGCCCTGACCATCAGCACAGCACTGACCATGAGCACTGCCCTCGCCAGTGGCACAGCTCTGGCCATCGGCTTTGCTCTCCTGACAGGGAGCCAGGGGAGGCTCCACCCTGGCAGGGAGCAGCCCCTGCTCCTGGGCTGGCTCCCGGGGAGGGGCCGTGCTGGGCACAGGAGCTGCTGGCAGCAGCAGGATCTCGTCAGAGGGGCACACAGCAGCAGAGGGCACAACGCTGGCCTTATGCTGGGCAGGCAGCACCTCAGCCCGCTCCTCCTGCAGCCCCGGGCCCTGCCAGCCCGTGGTGGGCACAGGACGCTCCTGGCTCACACAGCCGGGACCTGCCTCCCCTGGGCAGGGCTCCTGGGCAGCTCCCCCGGGACCATGGGGAGGGGGCTCCAGGGACAGCAAAGGGGGCTGCTGTGGCTGCAGGCTGCTGCCCTCCTCCCCACCCCGGCTGCCGGCAGGGTGAACATCCAGAAGGGAGGAAACCGGCCATTCCATCATCGACTTTGTCCCCGGGGTGCCAGGCTTTGTGTCCATCGGAGCAGAGCAGGGCTCCGTGCCAGCAGTGTCCCTCTGGGCCCAGGGGGCTGCAGGAATCCCCCTCTCCACGTCCTTCCCCATGTCCTCTGCCGAGGGCTGAGTGGGTGGCCAGGAGCAGCAGCGCTGTGGGGAGCCTGGGGCAGCTGCAGGGAAGCTGACCTGTGAGGTGTAATCAGTTTTCAGGAAGGACCTTCTCTTCCTCAGGCTCTTGCTGCAGGTCAGCTCCGTCTCCTGGCCCTGCTTCTCCCTGGTCGAGGGGTTCTCCCCCAAGCTGTAGCACCTCAGCCTCTTTGGGATGCAGGAGGAGCTCTCTGTGCCCTCCCAGGATGCTGCATCATAGCCTGAGGGCAAGAAAAACATGGAAATCAGGAAGTAATCCCGGGCAGCAGAATACCCTCACGCCTACACAGTGGGCCCAAAAAGCTCCTGGCACAGCCTTGGAATCACAGGCACAAAAGTCCAGCAGCAGTGCCTGGTTCCCAAGGAAAAAAGGAAATGCTCTCTCGTGGTCAGGTACCTACGTGGAGTGGGATGCCAGGAAAAGGCAGAGCCTGGGTGTGTGCTACAGGGGCTGGTGACGAGGGAGCAGCTTCACCTGGAGGCAGGTGTGGCTGTAACTCCCCAGGTGAATCTGGGGACAGCGGTGGAAAGCACTGCCCACAGCTGTAGGCACATCACAACAGAAACATGGCCAGAGGTCCCCAGCTGGGTTTTTAGGTGATAACACTTTCCACAGTGACAGCTTTATGTCTGGACACAGTACAGTGACTGCGCATTACTATCAAAGCCAGATCTGTTCCAACGGCATGAATTACATTCTTAAGAGGTTCTGTTAATACTGAAAGAGCTGATAACTTCAGGAACAAGAATACTCCCATTTCTGAGAAAATACAATGGTCAGGGAGCTGTCCAGCCCTGGGAATCCTTGACCCAGCTCTGAACCCAGCCTCTGGCCTGAGCACGACCTTTGATCTTGGGGGTTCATGTGACAACGCTTTACAGATTTGGGAGATTCCTGAATGCCTGAAAACTGGAAACTACTGCAAACTGACTTTTCCCAGCAGCGTGTGTTTGCACGTGATAACAAATCCCCTGCAATGTCACCGCAGGGGCGCTGAGGAGTGGCCCGCAGAGCACGGGGGGGTTCAGGGCTCCTTCCAAAGCCCCGCAGGAGCTCCAGGAGCAGGCAGGGGAGCCCGCAGGGGGACGGACGGCGGCGGAGGCAGCACGGCAGCCCCGCTGTGCTTTACCTGCCGGAGGGCTGAGCCTGTCCGCAGCATCGTAGAACTCCTCCTCGGAGCTGGAGTCGGCGAATCCCGGCGGCGGCCGCAGCACGGCCTCGCTGCGTCCCGCTGGCCCCGGCGGGGCGGGCGCGCCGTGTCCCGGGCTGCCCGCGGGGGAGGCCCCGGAGCACGGCCCGGGGCTGTGGCAGCCCCCGCTGCTCCCCTCGGGCAGCCGCGACTGCAGAACGGCCGGGCCCTCGCCCTGCCCCGCGGGGCTGCCCCCGGGCCGCACCTGCAGGAAGCAGGAACAGTCCCCGGTGCCGGTGGAGCTGCCCGCGGCGCACACCGGCACGGAGCCGCTGTCGGAGCCGCTCATCTCCCGCACGGTCGGCGTGCAGAACGGCAGCAGCCCCGGCCGGGAGGAAGAGCACGCGTCCGCCGCATCTTCCTCCAGCGCATCCACGGAGTCGCTGGAGCCGCTCGTCCTGAAGCTGCGGCTCTCGGTGTTGGCCGAGTCGGAGGCCTCGGAGGGGCTGTCGATGACGGTGTCGCCGCCGGGGTCCCGCGGGTCGCCGCTCGCCCCAGGGCCGCGGGGCTCCGCCGCTGCCGCCGCGTCGCCGCTCGCCGCGGGGCTCCCCGGGCGCCGCTCCGAGCAGGAATCCTCGGAGTCGCTGCAGGCTCGGGATTCATAGCCTGCGGTGTAAAGGAGCCGCTCAGCCCGGGCTGGGGTGCGGAGGGATCCGCCAGAGCCTGACCCGCGGGGCCGGGGGCTCCTCAGCCCCGGGCAGCTCCCGGCCAGCGGGGCAGGGGGCGGATGGAGCTGCGGCTGCTCTCAGCTCAGAGCAGCTCCCAGAGCAGCCCCTGGAGCTCAGGGCAGGGTGCGGATGGAGCTGAGGGTGCTCTCAGCCCAGAGCAGCTCAGGGCAGGGGCAGATGGAGCTGAGGGTGCTCTCAGCCCTCTCCAGCCCCCAGAGCAGCTCAGGGCAGGGGCAGATGGAGCTGAGGGTGCTCTCAGCCCAGAGCAGCTCAGGGCAGGGGCAGAAGGAGCTGAGGGTGCTCTCAGCCCAGAGCAGCTCAGGGCAGGGGCAGATGGAGCTGAGGGTGCTCTCAGCCCAGAGCAGCTCAGGGCAGGGTGCGGATGGAGCTGAGGGTGCTCTCAGCCCTCTCCAGCCCCCAGAGCAGCTCAGGGCAGGGTGTGGATGGAGCTGAGGGTGCTCTCAGCCCTCTCCAGCCCCCAGAGCAGCTCAGGGCAGGGGCAGAAGGAGCTGTGGGTGCTCTCAGCCTAGAGCAGCCCCCAGAGCTGCCAGCCTGGCTGAGTCCCAAGCCTCGTTGGCCATGAGCCTGCAGCTCTCCCAGAACTAGGGCACCCTGAATGCTGGAAAAGCCCTCTGAGATCAGCGAGTGCAGCCTAAATCAAGCACGTGTGCCACCACACGGCCCCAGGCTGCTGCTCCCAGCAGCTGGGCCATCCACCCATTCCTCCCCAGCCCGTGTCAAAAAAAGGCTGTTTTTGTGAACCTTCCTCCGCTGAGACGCGGTGCTGTTGCTTCTCTCCCCAGGTGAATATGGAGGCCTTTGCATCCACAAGGAGTCTGTAGTAGCCAGCGATGAGGCAGACGAGGTCCTTTGCACTGTTTGACTCCAGCAGCAGAGTAAGCACCTTTTTTTGGTTTATTTTTTGGAGGTGTGGGGGAGAAAAGAGTAAAGAAGATTAGAATAAAGAAATGCTATTTGTACCACAGTCAGCAGGAACAGGCTGCACAAGGACAAGGCACCCCCTCTGTCTCATACAAGGAGGCATGAAGAAGAGAAATTTATTTTTCTTGCCTTTTGTGCCTTTGCTATGTCTCACTGATGGAGGAAAAAAAATCACTTTTCCTCAGCAGGAAGAACCACTTCTCTCTAGTAATTTTTTTGGTTCTTCCTATGAGCTTTCCCTGCCGAGTCTGTTCTAAGCCTTTTTTCCTGGTGACTCTCTGTTGGAACCCAGGGAATTCCTCTGGCTGCCCTGGAGGGCTTGAGACCCTGCCCCGGGGGCTCAGAGACCCTGGCACAGAGCCCCAGACCCCTGTGCCTTTGATTTAGCCCTTGGAAAAAACAATTACCAACCTTATATGAGGAATTACAAGTCAAGAGAGTTTAAGTAGAATAATAGTTTGTCATGGGGTGAAAAATAGATTTTTGAGGTTTTTAGAATGGGGGCTCGGGGTCCCAAGATGGAGGAATTTGGGTGTGCCCTGTCCTTTCTCCTTCTTCTTCTTGGCCTCCATCTTCTGGGTGATGTTGGCACTTTTGGATTGGTTTAGAGTAGAAGCTCACTGTCTAACACAGGTGACAGGTATTGGAAAGTAACTGTAAATATTGCACAGGTAGTTTTTAGTATTAAAAGATAACCCTGCCCTGGGGCAGGCAGAGTGCCTCTGACTGTCCTGCTGAGCGGGCCTGGGCAGGGCAGGAGAAAGGATTTTATAGATAAGGAACAATAGACAACCTTGAGACTGAGAAATGCAGAGCCCTGACTGCTTCTTTGAGCGCCAGGCTGGGAAAAGAGACTCTCTAACACATCTTGGGGTCACTGTGAGCAGCTACAGATCCCAGGAGGAGAGCTGATGGTGCAGGTGACCCCCCTGTGCCCATCCAGCTGCTCACCTTCAGGTCCTGCAGGTAGATCTTGACGGTGCTGACTCGCTCCGAGTCCTCGCTGAGCTCCACCCTGCTGATGCTGGGGAACTCGGCCAGGCTGCTGGCGATGTTCAGCTTGCTGTTCACGATCTGGCTCACGCCGTGCCTGGCGCCCACCAGCAGTGCCACGTACGACTCCCTGTCCTGCATCTGCAGGGACACAGGACACACCTGGGCAAGGATCCCTCACCTGGGCTGCCAGGGCCCCCTCAGCCCTCCCAGCTCCTGTGGGGTCCCAGCAGTGTCTCTCCTTCCACAGGAGCCCCTCCCTGCCCTTTCCCCACACAGGGACAGCAGCTGGCCATGGCCCCAGGGGTGCAGCAGCCACCTGGCAGACCCAGGGACGGGGCTGGCAGCAGGTGGGCACTGTCAGCAGTGTCACCTGGCAGCCCAGGTGTCCCCATATGGGCCCAGTGAGACCTGCTGCAGGGTAGAAACTTCACAAGGACATTTCTGGGCTTGGAAGATGCATCAGTGGTTTTTGTTAGGGTGAGGCACTTAAGGAAAAATGAATTAACACACTTATAACCTGGCAGAAATTGTTCAATTTGCATGTAGGTGTGAAGTTTAGCATTACTGTGACCCATGGGTGCCCACCTGCATTGCTCAGCTCCCTGTGTGACACAGCCTGTGCCCTGCAGCTCAGCACAGACCCAGCTGGGAACAGGCAGAAAAATCAACAACCCCAGAAACCTCTTGTAAGAAGGGAAGAGTTCTTTTTTACAGTGAGCTTTAAGGGTTTCCAGTGTTTCCTCAAGAATTTGAAGCCTGCCCAGATTTCCCAAGTACTTTATAACACACAAAGGATAGACAGGGTTTATCTGAAGAGCAAGAGTGACAGCTTCCAATCAGAAAAAATGCAAAACTGTTCTGTAGGCTGGTCTGTGCCATGGACACTTCAGTGGGATTAAACTGATTTTCTCCAGCACAGCCCCTCACCAGCACCCACCATGGCATCCCAGGGCAGGGAGAGGCACTGTGGCCACTGGGCCTGCGTGCCCAAAGCAATTCCACTCACACACAGCTCCTGCCACCATGGTGGCATTGAACATCCCGATCACACACAGCTCCTACCATCATGGTGGCATTGAACATCCCGATCACAAACAGCTCCTACCACCATGGTGGCATTGAACATCCCACTCACACACAGCTCCTACCACCATGGGCATGGAAAATCTCACTCACAAACAGCTCCTACCATCATGGTGGCATTGAACATCCCGATCACAAACAGCTCCTACCATCATGGTGGCATTGAACATCCCGATCACAAACAGCTCCTACCACCATGGTGGCATTGAACATCCCACTCACACACAGCTCCTACCACCATGGGCATGGAAAATCTCACTCACAAACAGCTCCTACCATCATGGTGGCATTGAACATCCCGATCACAAACAGCTCCTGCCACCATGGTGGCATTGAAAATCCTGATCACAAACAGCTCCTGCCACCATGGTGGCATTGAAAATCCTGATCACAAACAGCTCCTACCATCATGGTGGCATTGAACATCCCACACACACACAGCTCCTACCATCATGGTGGCATTGAACATCCCACTCACAAACAGCTCCTACCATCATGGGCATTGAACATCCCGATCACAAACAGCTCCTACCATCATGGGCATGGAAAATCTCACTCACAAACAGCTCCTACCATCACGGTGGCATTGAACATCCCACACACACACAACTCCTACCATCATGGTGGCATTGAAGATCATCCCGCTGTACATCTTCAGCTCCCCCAGGATCTGCAGGTAGTTGAGGCGCACCTGGGCGGCGTTGAGCGTGTGCTTGGTGGGCAAGAGAGGAAACAGGGTCAGAAACAGGCTCTGCAGGCAGCTGCAGCAGGCACACAGCCTGGGACCAGCACAGCCAGCTCAGGGTGCCAGCAGAGGTGCCCAGGGAGCCCCCCACACACCCCGTGGCCAGCGCAGCACAGGGAGACCAGGGGGCAGAGAACAGCCCCAGGGGGAGGGCATACCTGACCTGGGGATCACACTCTACCTTCTGCCGAGGGTCCAGCAGCACCTGGTTCCTCTTCAGGTGGTAGTTGATGGCTTTCTTGATGTCCTTCCCTCGCATGTTCCGCAGCAAGGTGGGCGAGATGAAGTTCTCGATTCCCCAGTCCCTCCTGGCAGGAAGAGGGAAAGGAGCACAGGGGGTCCCGGCCACGCTGAGCCCCACAGCAGCACAGGGCAGGGCAGAGGCGCCAGGCGGCCCTGGGGGGCTGTGGCACCCCCTGGAATTCGCTGCGACCCGCGGGTCAGGGGGGACTGCAGGGTGTGCGCCCTGAGGTGCAGAGTGGCCATTTTCACGTGGTTTCACAGGAGGGAGCTCACAACCTGCATGAGCAGGACAGTCCCCGTCTCCCCTCACCGTGCCCAGGACGGAGATTCTGTCCTTGCATGCACCTTGCTTGGGTGACAGGAGTGTGACACTGCAGCAGTTCCTGCAATGACCCAAAACGCGGGCCAGGTGTGCTGCTGGAGTGTGCTCAGCCCAGGCATGAAACACCTGTGGGGTGAGAGCAGTGCAGCTGCCCCTCCAGCTGCGCACAGCTGGGCACATCTGGCTGCACACCAGCCAGCCAGTGCCTGGTAATTAACCTGGTCACCACACCAGTGCCTGGTAATTAACAAATCCACGGTTTTTACAGAAATAATGATGGATTTGGAGGATATTTGATGGACAACAAGGAGCTCTGCCTAGAGCAGGGTCTCTCTGGGGCAGGAGCAGTCCAGGAGCACCAACGTGCAGCACGGCACACCTGCCCCTTCTGAAAGCATTTTTTGGTCATTTCCCCACAGCTCCCAGTGCTCCACACTGCCCGAAGGGGGTGTTTCTGGCCTGCTTCTGGCCAGAGATGTGCTGGCTGTGCAAGGCTGGTGGTTACACCCTCTCTCTGCAGACACTGCAATCAATACTGGCAGGAGCAGCTTGGGTAACCATCACTGCCTGAGAGACCTGCAGTTTCAAGGGCCTGGCCCTGTGACAGGGAAGACCCTCCCTGTGTCTCGGGACACACCCAGGAGTTCACTGCCTGCCCTACTCAGGCAGGCCAGGGGGTTTGTGGTAATTGCATACCCTCTGAACAGAGAGAAACATGGTTCTCCCAGGAAAGTCCTGGGAAGCTGTGTAGAAGCTGTGGGAAACTTGAAAGAATTCAGGCAATTATCTTTCTGTCACCATTGTTTGTAAATATGGTTCTCCAGAGAGTACTGTTCATAGTTCACCAATAGTGTAAAAAAAAAATCCTAAAAGCCAATCAAGTCTTAAATCCATCATTATTTCTGTAAAAACTGTGGATTTGTAATAATAAAAGTGTCTTTCAATACACCATTATTTCTATAAAACCTGTAGATTTCTAATAATAAAGTGTCTTTTAAAATAAAGTGTGTTTTCACACCTTCTGATGATAAAGCCTCTGCATCACCTATATCAGTGCCCCTTCAGTAGTAGGGGGTGAGGACAGGGAGGCCCCCTTGCCCAGCCAAGGGGCTCAGTCCCCTCTGGCCTCCTGTGCAGAGCTGAGCAGGGGCCAAGCAGCAGCTGGGGCCCCCTTTGGGGCTCTCCTGCTTCCCTGGGGTTGGGGACAGGGGAGCGGGGAGCTGTGGCACTCACTCAATGTACTTCAGGGACACCTTCTGGGGCTGGGCACAGGTAGAGATCGTCTCCTGGATGTGCAGGGCAGCCAGGCGCAGGGCCACGCTGCACTTCATCTCCACGGCAAACCTCTCCTGGAGCACGTCGCTGCAGCTCTGGGGCCAACACAGCACAGTCAGCCCAGCCCCTGCAAGGCTGCCACCAAAGCACAGCACCACGCAGACAGACAGGGACATCCCCAGCCCAGCACACACTCTGCTCGTGCTTGTGACTTTATCCCTGGTAAAGCTGGTTTAGTTGATGAGGCTGATTTGAGAGTTTAAGGCAAGCTGAATCGAAGTGCCCTGATTTTAAGCGCTCTGCATTTCCATGCAGCCCAGCCAGCGTGAGGAGGCACACTCTGGGTTAAAGCACAAAGGAGGGCGGGCTGAGAAGGGATTCCCAGGCACGGAACCCAAGCCCCAGGGTCACCTGCTGGTACAGATACTCAAAGGCCACCGGGTCTTCCTGCAGGAGGTCCGAGGGGTCCCTGGGGATAAAGCACACCCTGAAGAGGCAGCGGTAGTCATGAGAGTCTCTTTTCTGGACCACCTGCAAGACAGAGAGGGCGTCACACTGATGGGGAAGATGAAACAGGAAAGCCTTACAAATATGATTGCCTGGCAAAACATTTTGAGAATATGGAAACTACAAGCGAGACTGAAATGAAAGCAAGCCTTGAGATCCCTCAGTTACTGAACAACTGGAAAACAATGGTGTGGCCACTGAAGGTGATCCCCTTTTGATGGAACAACACCCTCTGCTTGCAGGCAGCTCCAAGGGTCAGAGCAGACCCTGCCAGCTTGGCAGAAGGGGCCCAAAGAGGAGTTTGTAGGGTTTAAAATGTAACACAGTATGGTAATGTAATGATTCTTACAGGCCGTATGTAAATGCTACAGGATTTGTATATTGTACTAGATTAGTTAGTGAGAATCAGAATATTCAACACCGAAGAAGATTTATGGTATTGTAATGGGAACCTTGTTCTCTTACTCTCTTATCCTCTCTTCCTCTCTCTTTACTTCTCTCAGGCCTGCTCTGAGCTGTGCCTGGCAGCTCCAGCAGGGCCAACAAACCACCCAGGCCCTTTGCAATAAACCCCAAATTCCAAGCCCTGGCCTCAGAGATCTCCCATCTCCATCCATCCCCACCATCCCAAACCCCTGATGCTCCCACACACACCACCATCCCTCCCTCCAGAGAGCACAATGAGCCTTTGCTCTGCAAACCCACGGGAATGGTTTAACCCCACGGGCAGGGGAACTGTGCAGATTGTCCTGAACAAACACAAGGAGTCTTGGCTTGTGATTGTAACTTAAGCTCTGATTCTTCATCTGGTTTTTTCTTCTGCCTGCAGTAGCCCAGAAGCCCTTTGGCAGCAAGGCCTCATTTAAACACCCACTGATCCCAAACTCTCGGTGTCACCAGCACAGAGGCTCCGGGGCTGTGTGATAACAGCAGGGGAAGGGGCAGCCTGCTCTGCTTTGGAGCACAGTCACGAGACACAGCAGCCCTAAACAGACCCCTGAATCATCCCTGTAATGTCAGCACAATGTCAAGACTGAGTTATCCATCAGCACATTTTATTCTGGGCAGATCCTGCCCAGCAGAAATCCTCTGACCCATGTGCTCAGTGCTGTGACAGGGACTGGAGCTGGGTGGGCCCTGTGTGTGCCTCCCCACTCAGGGCACTCTGTGTGACCCCACGGACCCTCTGCAGTGGCTGCCACCCCACCAACCCAGCACAGGGAGCTGGGGCAGCTGAGCAGGCACCCCTGACGAACCTGCAGGGCTGCAGCATCCCAAGGCTCACAGGACACAGGTGCTGGCTCACAGTTTGATGTAACCCACCTGCCCACTGCTGGCATGGATGCTCTGGCTGCTCAGGGGCTGTGAGCACAGAGTCATGCACAGAGCTGCCCGAGGCTCAAGCAGCCCTCTGCAGAGGGGCTGATGTGGCAGGTGGCACACAGGATGTCACCCAGCACTGCTCTGCAGGCAATGCCAGCCCAGGGGTGCTGCTCTGTGCATGGGGGCACTCAGGCTGCTCCCAAAGGGCCTTCCCCAGGGCTGTGGGGGTGAACACCATGGCAGAGGCGGGTGGCAGCACTGGGGACAAGGGCTCGCCCCTCTGGTGCCCTCTGTCCTGGGGCAGAGCCCCTCTGCAGGGCTGTGGCACACACGGGGGCCCGGCTCACCTGCGCAATGAGCTCCTCCTCGTGCAGCAGGTGGATCTTGGCCAGGTTGTATTGCTCCTCCAGCACCAGGGCGAAGTGGGCGATGCTGCGGATGGAGAGCTTCTCCTGCAGGGTCAGCACGATGTCCTGGCAGGGCACAGGGCCACACAGAGCTCAGCTGGGCCCCAGCCCTGCTGCAGGGCTGCTCAGACAGAGCACCACGATCCCAGCAGGTGCAGGACGAGGTGGGCAAGCTGCAGACTCCAAGGTGTCACAGGAATCAAACCCATCTCCTGGAGCTGCCCCTCACTCACAGACAGCTCTGGGTGGTGGTGAACACCTTCGGCCACCCCCGAGTGACAGAAACACCCCAAGTGTTTGCTGTGTTTGTTATTCTAACTTTCTAGAACTCTGCAACATTTTTGGATCCCTGGAAGCGTCCAAGGCCAGGCTGGACAGGACTTTAAGCAAGTGAGAGGTGTCCCTGCCCATGGTAGGAGGTTGGAACTGGATGGTCTCCAAGGTCCCTCCCAACCCAAATCAGTCTGTGATTTGTGAAAAAAAAAAAAAAACTAAAAAGAACTTGTGAAGAAAACTTATCTCTAATAAACAAGAATTTGAGACCGTAATTGTAAAAATCCTGCCACGTCTGACTGAAACTGGTGTTTCACTTTGTAATAGAGAATTCTGTCAATATTCTCACTGTTACGCAAGTAACAAGGTTTACTTTTGGCAAAAAGAAAATATCACCTCAGGCTTGACTGAGCATAAATTGAAACAGAAGCCCTTGGGCTCACTCAAGCCTTTTGAGGCAAGCATAAATGTTTGACTCACCTCAGTTTTAAGTGAGGATGTCTCAAAACACAGAGGAATTTCAGGAAACACCTAACTTGGGAAGCATTTTGCTCATTTAGATATTTCTGAAGGGCAATTGTGAGGGCTGCTTTAAAAACTGGGAAAACTTATTCCATGTCAGAGCTGAGCAACTCAAGTCAAAGAGCAAATCCATCTTTTAGAAATCAGACTCTTGGGGACAGGCATTCAAATACTTCTTTACAACTCTCCTTTCCTTTCTACCCCCTTGCTTTATTTCAGTATTTTATTTTTCTAGACCGTGCAAGTCAAAAGACTTGCAGACCCTTACTTGCCTGAGAGACCACAATGGTTTCGTGAAGCTTGAAGGAGCTAGACAAACTCCTCCTTTTCTGAGGAAAGCTTTCACTGCATGATAAATGAAATCTCTTTGTGTTTCCCTTTAATATACTTTCAGCCCGATAGCCCCAGAATGCCTGTCCATCGTGAGTCTCTCCCACAGCATCTGCACTGTGCAGGACACCACCTGTCCTTTAAGCAATTTATTTGACTTCCAGCCACTGGCCATAGCCAAATCCTACCACGTCCAGCATAAACCCTGAGCAGCTCCAACGCTCAGGCCAGAACAGCTGGAGGTGTGCAAGGCTGTGTCCTTGCTGGGGAAGGACCGGATCCGCGGCTCTGCAGAGCAGCATCGCGCTGTCAGGGGAGTGAACTGAGGGAGGATCACCCCTTGTTCAGGAGGATCATTCCCTCCTGTGCTGCTGAATCAGTGCTCGTGTCTCCAGAGGGGAGCATCCTTACAGAGCAGACTGAGGCTGGGGCTCAGAGCCAGCAGTGTCAGTGGTCAGCAGCTGGTCAGCGCGGCTGGGGGGCCGCAAGGGCCCTGCCTGCAGCTGATGGGCCGGGCTGGGGTGCTGGAGCAGCCCGCAGAGCCCCTTACCTTCACCGTGGTGCTCCTCTCAAAGCGGAACGCCTTGGTCTGTCCGTTCTCCAGGTACACCTTGAGCACGTTGGGCATGAACAGGAGGGAGCTGCCCTGCAGAACGAGAGCAGCAGCTGCACCCTGGGGCGCCCGGCCTCGGCAAGCCCCGGAAAATCCTCCTCTGCCCTGGCAACCCTCTTCCCCAGCACACAACCAGGGTTTGCTCCTGATGATGGTTCTGAGACAGAGCAGGAATTCTCCAGAGCAGAAATCCATTTCGATTTAGGTGAAACGTACATCTTTGAGCTGAGTCTGTGGTTAGAAATCATGGCTATTTAGCCTGACTGCAGAAGCCTGGGCTCAGAGAAACTGCTTCAGTGAAGGACAGAGATGGGGGGGGGGACAGAGGGTGATAGGGAGAGACAGAGACAGCTGTGAGAGCAGGTCAGCCTGACCCAGGAATTCTTCCTGATAAACAAGAACCAGTGGCAAATGTCACGGGAAATTTGTAAAAATTAATATGTGTGAACCTATTGGGAAATTGTATGCATATGTATCTGAGAGGGGATTAAAAGGGACCTAAAGTTCCCAGAGGTACGGATGTCCTTTAAGGAAATTAATCTCCGCATGCATCTGGCGCTGTAAAAGGCATCTTGACATCACCCAGCAGTGCCCAGGGTGAGAGCAGCCCCCGGGAGCCTGGCAAACACACAGCGCTGCCTCCACCAAGCCTGGCACAGACACCCTCTATGAAATACCCTTCCCTTAGGATTTTTGCTCCTGAGAAGCAAAGAGAGGCCTCAGGAACAAAATGTAACCAATGGTTATCTGCTGCTGTGGAATGCAACAGGTGCATCTGGGATTGGCCCATGCTGGTTGTTTCTAATTAATGGCCAATCACAGTCAGCTGGCTCAGAGAGCCAAGCCACAAACCTTTGTTATCATTCTTTGTTTTCCTATTCTTAGCCAGCCTTCTGATGAAATCCTTTCTTCTATTCTTTCAGTACAGTAATATATATCATAAAATAATAACCCAAGCCTTCTGAAGCATGGAGTCAGATCCTCGTCTCCTCCCTCACCCTGGGACCCTGTGAGCAGGGTCACAGAGCCTTGCCCTGGCAAACACACAGCACTGCCTCCCCCGAGCCCTGCCCGGGCTCTGCAACCTGGCGTGCCCCAAAGCAGCAGGGATGGCACCAGAGTGAGTGGGACGGGTCCCAGACAGGCGGGACAGGGCAGGACACCCTCGGCGGTGGATGAGGAGGTGGCCTGCTGTCAGCTTGGCTGTTGGGCGCACACCCAGCGCCAAGCAGGCTTGCTGCTCCTATTAGGATTAGGGCTGGGATTAGGGGCGTGGGGGTTCCCCAAAGCAGGAGGGGGCCTAGTGAGGCAGAAGGCTGGTTTCACAGCCCTGTTAGGAGGGTAGAGAGTCACAGGGGCAAAGCTAGGGCTAAGTTTATAGCATGGGGTGAAACACCACACACCCAGCTGGCCTAAGGTGTCTCTGGGGTAAAACACCACAGCTGCCGCCCTTGGTCAAGCAGCAAGGGCCAGACAAGCCAAAGCACGTTCTATCTGGCTCTATTGGTAATTAATTCCAATACATCTCCTCGTCTAGAGACTCTCAGGGCCAAGAATGGTGCTTCTAAGATGGTCTCTCTGTGCTTCATTCACTGTGCCTCACGTTACAAACCTCACAGCCCTCCAGACAGGCAGCCCACAGCCCCTGAAGTGCTGCCAGAGCCAACATGAAACACTTCTGAATGCCATCCTTGCTCCTCTCACATCCATTTCGGGGTTCAAGCTGCCTGCAGTCACCACAGAGGGAAAACAAGAGAATGCTGCTGATCTTTTTCTGGCCCAAATTCTGGCCTCTTTACTTGCCCAAACACATCACCACTCCCTGGTCAGATCCAACTACCCAGCTGGCACCATCACATTTTCAGGAAAAATTTTTTGCTTAGGACTTTTTTTTTCTCCTGGGAAGCTGAGAAGCCTCAGAGAAAAAGGCAAACAACATTATTCTATTTGCTTCTTTCACATTTTACTGCTTTAGAATGCAGTTGGAGGTCGATTATCCAACGTGCGAATTGTTTTTACTTAATGACTAATCACGGATTAGCTGTGTCGGACTCTGAGGAGAAAGTCACAAGTTTTCATTAATATCTTGTTAAGCCTTTTGTAAGTGTCCTTTCTCTATTCTTTAGCATAGTTTTAGTACAGCATTCTCTAATATAATATAGTACCATAAAATGATGAATTAGCCTTCAAAGACAGCTAATGGAGTCAAATTTATCCTCTTTCGCCACGGGGGACGCCACAAACGGCACCCCAGAGCCGCCTGGGGTTCCTCCCTTTCTGCGGGGGCTGCCCCGAGTTAACCCTTCCTGTCCCGCGCCCGCCCCGTGCCCCGGCGGGCTCACCCCGGGCGCTGCCCGCGATGTGGAAAACATCGCCGGCCCGCAGAAGGCAGGGAAGCAGCGAGGCTCATGAACAATTCATGCTCCAGCCGGCAGGGTCGGGTTTCAGCTGCAGAACGCGGCCGCTGGGATCCTTCCCGCGGCCAAAAGGATCACTTAGCCCCGCTCCATTAGGATGACAAGAGCAGTATATTTACTGAAACTGGAGGCTGCATGCTTCTCAGGGCCATAATGCCCTTTTTGGCTGCCTCAGTGCGTCAGCCTACGGAAAGGAGAGTGGCCCTAAAGCACTCAGGGCTGCCGTGCTGCAGTGTTTTTCCAGAAAGGAATCATAAATATGCAACAAATTTATTTACCCTTCCTTTGTGCTAATACCTCACTGCTCAAAACAGGTTACACATCCAGATGGCGAAAAGGGAATGTAACACCAGGGACACCAGCACCTGAATTAATTTTCCTGCCTTTGTGCTGTCATTAAATTAACGGCAATCTAATCACTGAGCGTGTCCCTGCTGTGCACTTGCAGAGGTTTGATCAGCTCAGCACAGTGCTGGCAGGGGCTTTAGGGCAGCTCGGAGTGCAGCATTCCCTCCTCAGGTGCCTTCCTTAGGCTATGACAAGAGGCCCTTTCCCAGGACCGACCCTGCCATGGGTTGGGCAAGATGGAACAGGAAAGCCTTATCAATAGGATTGCCTGGCAAAACATTTTGAGAATATAGAAACTACAGGCGAGACTGAAATGAAAGCAAGCCTTGAGATCCCTCAGTTACTGAACAACAGGAAAACAATGGCATGGTCAGCTGAAGGTGATCCCCTTTTGATGGAACAACACCCTCTGCTTGCAGACAGGCCCAAGGGTCAGAGCAGACCCTACAGCATGGCAGAAGGGCCCAAAGAGGAGTTTTCACGGTTTAAAATGTAGCACAGTGTGGTAATGTAGTGATTCTTATAGGCTGTATGGAAATGCTGTAGGATTTGTATCTAGTACTGGATTGGTTAGTGAGAATCAGAATATTCAACACAGAAGAAGATTTATGGTATTGGAACAGGAACATTGCTCTTATCCCCTCATCCTCTCTTTCTCTCATCCTCTTTCCCACTCTCTTGACTTCTCTCTGCCAGCTGTGGCTGGCAGCTCCAGCAGGGCCCTGCACGTGGCCCTTTGCAATAAACCCCGAGTTCCAAGCCCTGGCCTCAGAGATCTCTCATCTCCATCGATCCTGACCATCCTACCCCCGATGCTCCCACACCACGGCTGTGGGGCTGTGACACACCTGGGAGCCCTCGGGCTGTGACCCCAGCCCACACTGCAGCTCCCGGCTCTCAGAGCAGCAGCTCTGCGAGGACTCCGGCTCTGCCCGTGTCCCCGACCCCTCCTGCCTGGGGCTCCTCCCTGCCCGGGCACCCTGGGCCTCGCTGCCCAGTCCCTGTGTCCCCCGGTGTCCCATCTGCCAGCAGCGGGAGGGCTCTGCTGTCCCGGGAGGGCCCCGCTGCCCCCTGCCCGCCGGGACCGCGACAGCCCCGTGTCACCAACCCCGGGACCGTGACAGCCCCGTGTCACCAACCCCGGGCTGGGACAGCCCCGTGTCACCAACCCCGGGCTGGGAGAGCCCCGTGTCACCAACCCCGGGCTGGGACAGCCCCGTGTCACCAACCCCGGGACCGTGACAGTCCCGTGTCACCAACCCCGGGACAGCGACAGTCCCGTGTCACCAACCCCGGGGCTGGGACAGCCCCGTGTCACCAACCCCCGGGCTGGGACAGCCCCGTGTCACCAACCCCCGGGCTGGGACAGCCCCGTGTCACCAACCCCGGGACCGCGACAGTCCCGTGTCACCAACCCGGGGCTGGGAGAGCCCCGTGTCACCAACCCCGGGGCTGGGACAGCTCCGTGTCACCAACCCCGGGCTGGGACAGCCCCGTGTCACCAACCCCGGGCTGGGACAGCCCCGTGTCACCAACCCCGGGACCGCGACAGCCCCTGTCACCAACCCCCGGGCTGGGACAGTCCCGTGTCACCAACCCCGGGCTGGGACAGGCCCGTGTCACCAACCCCGGGACTGCAACAGTGCCGTGTCACCAACCCTCGGGCTGGGACAGCCCCGGAGGGCAGCCCTGGACAGGCCTGGCACACCTGGCAGCAGGGGAAGGATCCCCAGGGCCAGAGGGACACTGGACACGTCTGGGGGCACAGCCGAGTCTGCCCTGCCCTGCGGGGAGGAGGAGGAGGAGCGGGGTCCCTCCGTGCAGGAGACACCCACGGCACCCCTGTGTGCAGGGGACAGGGAGCCAACTCTGCTCTGGGAGGGTCTGAGCTGCACCAGGGGGCTCCTCCCGCCACAGGGGACAGCACACAGACAGACAGACAGGCAGGGAGAAGGGAAAGGGCCAGTGGGTGGTTTGTCACTGCCGCCAAGCAGAAAGGCTGGGCCAGACCTGGACAGCTGAGCAGCACTGATGAGCAGGGCCAGAAAGGTGCAGTTTGGCCACTGGGTTTTTTCACTCTGAAGGACACAAGGAAAGATCGACAGAGCTAATGACTCACAGCTGGCCCCAGTGAGCTTAGAAAGTTACACAGAAGGAGCAGGAGACGTTCAGGAGCTGTTCACACTTTGGGGAGGACACAGGAGTCCTCACCTGTGCCTCAGGGGCACCAGCAGGGGCAGAGCCGTGGACAACACCCAGCTCAGCTCCAGCAGCAGCAGGAGCCCCGTGCTGGGTGAGCAGCAGCCTCCAGAGAGCTGTGACCAGCTCACCTGACAGCGGCACAGCTGAGGGTGCTCTGTGCACACCCTCTGCAGGGACGGAGAGCAAGCTGCCACACTGAGACCACTGTCACACCCAACAGCGAGGCACAGTGCTCATGACAGAGCCCCTGAGCAGTGACAGAAACCCTGACCAGTGACAGAAACCCTGAGCAGTGCCCAGTGTCAGAGCCCCTGCCCAGTGGCTGTGCCGAGGAGGGCCAGCCCCGCTCTCCAGCAGCACATCATTGACCTGGCAAACACAGCAGCGCGCTCCTCTCGCCCCTGGGGCGGGATTCGTCCTGCCCACAGCTCAGCGAGGCTCCCCATGCAGGGATGAGCCCCTCAGGGGAGCACAGCTGCCTCCCGCCCTACTGAAGGGATGGTTCGAGCTCCGACGGGAGCGGGACAGAGGCAGTGCACGCGGTGTTTCCCATTAATCCCAGTAAGCACGCCCAAGACCAAGCCCCGCAGATGCCAGCGCTTCCTCCGTGTCCCGATCAGCCCCGGCAGCGGCAGGGAGCGCCTGCCGGAGCGGGGCAGGGGGACACAGCGAGCCTGAGCCCCCTGCCCGGGCAGAGCCCCGCGCCCCACTCACCTGCGAGTGTCCGTTCAGCAGCACCTCCTCCGCGAACCGCACTTTGACCGGGTTGGTTTTCAGCCTCGCCCTCTTCTCCTCGGTGAGGAACGACGACTTGGGGGCGCCCTGGAACGACAGCGGGGCTGGGTCGGGGCAGAGCGGCGGGGAGGGCAGGGCCGTGCGGGGCTGCTCACCTGCGCTGCCCGCACACACCTGGAGCGGCGTCCCGGGGAGCCCCTGCGCTCCCAGCCCTGCCCCAGCCCCTTCGGACCTTGCTCCACATTGCCATGCAAAACGTTTTCAATTACCATCTGTATGGCAGATTACCTTTGCCAAGTGGGCAGTTTGCCTTATCTCTCTCTCTGAGTGACCACAATCACTCCTCCCTGGGTAATACCTGCTGATAACAGCCATTGAATGTCCCTGCATGGCTGATAAGAACTACAGCATCCCATTGGCAGATGTGAGCCCAGAGGGAGGAGCCAAGCATTGCTACCCGGATATAATCCAGAGGTTTGGAGACACCAGCACGGCTTCTCCACGGGATTCCCCAGAGGAACAGCAGCTGCCTCTCCTTCCCCTGGATCTTCAGAGGAAGAACACATCCTTCTCTACAGATCCCCCTGGCTCCAACAGAGCCACCCCTGACACTGCAGGAGGGCTGAGCCACAATTCCAATGGGACTGCTGCCAACACCCTGACCCACAGGATGTCAGGCTGGGTTCTGACTCTGGCAGTGTTGGTTTAGTTCACTGCATTGTTCATTTTATCCTTTTTTTTCCCTATTAAAGAACTGTTATTTCCTGCTCCCATATTTTTTGCCTGAGAGCCCCTTAATTTAAAATTTATAGCAACTTGGAGGGGTAGGGAGGGTTCACATTCTCCATGTCAGGGGAGGCTCCTGCCTTCCTTGGCAGACTCCTGGCTTTCCAAACCAAGACAGACCTGCTGGGAAGCTGCTGCAGGCAGCGGACACTGTGTGCCGTGTGCCAGTGTCACTGTGCCAGTGTCACTGCACAGGGACCAGGTGCTGTGCCCAGGTGTCCTCCCCACACCGGGACCCCGCAGAACAGCTGGGGAGCTGCCAGCAGCTGGATGGCACTGGGCTGCAGCTAACCCTGCACACAGAGAGCCTGGCAGGGATGGACAGACCCTGCCCGCCCTGCTGGGCTGCCCGGGGTGCTGCAAACCACCCACGGTCACCAAGGACGGGATGGCTGTCACCAAGCACACAGCACTGCTGTCACACGGCCTTGCTGTCACCGCAGCAGGGTCCCCTCAGGCTCAAGTGTGCTCAGGAATTCTGCACAAACACCCTGTAAAGCATGGTGGTCCCGCAGAGCAGCAGCAGAGCCCCTCAGTGTCCCCCCAGGCAGAGCCTTCACCTGTCACAGTGCCCGTGCCACCTGCCCGGGGCACATGCCTCACCTGGGGGACAGTCCCACCTGCCCTGGGGACAGGAGGTGGGGACACGGATCGGGATTTGGGAGGAGTCCCCGAGCCCTCCGGGCGTCCCGGAGCCCAGCAGGGCTCACGGGGCAGAGCCTGAGCCTGTCCCTGCCGCCCTGGTGGCCCGCCTGGCCCTGCACCCGGGGCTGCAGCAGCCGCTGCCTGTGCGGGGATGGAATGTAAGAGAATCATGCAGAAGGCAGTCTGACACCTGAGGAGTTGCAGCTGCACTAATCACCAAAGATTAGGAACAGGCCTGCCCTTAACAGGCCACAGCTGTGTCCAATAAGGAGACAAGTGCTACAAAAGAGTGGGTTAGCTGGCGTTGGAGAGAGTTGGAGTTTGCCGATTGTGCTGTGATGAAGGAGCCAGCGCTGTGAGGAGATGCCCATGAGAAATCCCCCAGAAGATAGGGGAGCCTTTGCAATAAGGTGACAACAGCTGCCCGCCCTGCCCAGGGCTGGCTGTGACACCGAGGATGCCAGGGCACCCCCGTGGCCCTGGCCAGCCCAGCCACCCCTGCCCGTGCCCGGGGAGCCGAGGAGGCGCCACTCACGGCCGTGCAGCGCAGGACGGTCAGCAGCAGCTCATCTCCAGCATCCCTGCAGAGGGACAGGCGGTCAGCGCGGGGACACCGCGGCCCCGGGGACACGGGGACACGCGTGTGACACACCTGAGGAGGCTGGCGGCCCGCTCCACCGACAGCCCTTCCACCGTGCTGGAGTTGATCATGACGAGCTGGTCCCCGGGCTGCAGCTTGCCGTCCGCCGTGCTCCCTGCGGAACACAGGGGTGTGAGGCACGGGCAGCCCTCCTGCCCAGGCAAAGAGCTGCTCACACCCAGAACAGCCCTCCGAGACCACCACCACACCCAGAAACCACCCTCATCACCATCTGAGATCACCACCAACCCACAGAAACCCTCCGAGACCAGCACCCCACCACAGAAACCCTCAGAGATCACTGCAGAAACCCTCTGAGATCAGCACCACAGCACAGAAACCCCGAGAGCCCTCCAGGATCTGTCCCCTTGTCACAGCCCTCCACACTGGGAACCAAGCAGGGGCCAAGCAGCCGTGGGCTCCCATCAGCAAAGGGCAGGCTCACAAGGACAGGTTTTGTGTGTTTCAGGTTTAGTAAAATGAAGGGCAGGTTTCTTTGTGCCTGAGCTTTAGTAGAATATTGATTATTTCCGATTAGGAGAAGAGAGAAGCACAGCAGAAAAGACCCCACTTCATACTCCCCACAGCTCTCAGGTAATTCCACATGGGAAGGGGCATGAGGAGAAGTGGGAGTGACAGAGGGTCCCTGCCCTGGCCCAGAGCCCAGCCAGCCCCCAAACAGAGGGCTGACACCCACACCAACAGGTGAAAACCACGTGGTTTTGTGCACCCATTTAAAAAAATTAATAAAAAAACAATGACAGTTTTTGGGTTACACCTATCCCTTCTATAGCTGAATATCAATCTGATTGATTTCAGCACTGCCTGCACCCAGCAGCAAAGCCACAGGGCTGACAACCCAGGGTCTGTTCAGATCACCGTGGCCACAGTGGAATATGATGAAATTCTCTCAGATAAGATTAAATTCTTGCTCTGCATTTCAGGTAAAACACCAGGAAGGCCTTGGAGCAGCTCTCTGCATCAGGAAGGCCGGCAGTGAGCGAGCACAGGTGAGGGACCCCTGGGGACACTGACACTGAACCCGGACTGGGAGCTGGGACATGTCCTGCTGCCCCTGGCACCCAGGGCAACCTCAGGGCTCTCAAAAGAACAGAAACCACAGCCAGCAGCCCATGCCCACACCAGCAGAACCCACAGCCCTGCCTGCTGTCAGTCTGTCCCTCCATCCCCCTGCTGGTCTGTCAGAGCCACACCTGCAGTGACAGAGGCGATGGTCAGCGGCAGCCCGGGGCAGATCTCGAAGCCGTAGTGCTGCAGGAGCAGGTCCTTGTACACGGTCACTGTCACCCTGGTCCGGCTGGGGGACTGCCCTGCGCTGTCCCCAGCGCTGTCCATCGCTGCCGTGCTGGCCCTGGGCCACCAGAACACAGTTAGACAGGACACAACCACAGACAGCTTGTACAAGGATCCAGGCCATCCCCTGCTGCCCAGCAGCGACTCCCGGGGCTCTGCAGAGGCTGGGGACATCGGGCTGGCTGTGACCATGGCTCACCCCAGCCCAGTGGTCACAAGAAGGAGAGGAGGTCACAGAGGTGTGCCCCAGCACAAGGCATCACCTCCACCCACAGGGAGCAGCAGCACCTTGGCCCAGCGAGGCAGCACGGGAGCTCTGGGCCTCTGCTGGGATCCACTCAGCCCACAGATGTCCACTCTGCGTCCACTCTGCGTCCACTCTGCGTCCACTCCACCCTAATGTCATCTCCCAGGCCCCAGGGAAGGAAAGCGGCCGTGGGCTGGGCTCCCTGGCGATGCAGCCCAGTCCAAGATGCGGGCCCGCCAGGAGAAGCACGAGCCCACCTTCCAGAGGAGCAAGTTCCAGTGGAGCAATGCTGCATTTCCTCCTCACAGAACCACAGCAGAGCAAGGCAGGAGCGTCAGCCCCCGGCAGCCAGGGGGTTGCTCACAAACGGCTGCTGCTGCTGCTCTTTTTCTGTGAGCGCATTTCCCAAGGACAGACACAGCGAGCAGGACGTGCAGGCCGTGCCAGCCCCAGGTGCTGCCTCTGACCCAAGAATGCTCCCTCCACAGACCACACTCACCTGGGCAGGCTGTCCCGAGGCCGATGAAACCATTTTGCTACCATTTGCTCTATTCTATATGTTTTTCGTTTATGGGTTAAGCTAGTCTCCAAATCTCCCATTTACCTGGAACTGACAGAAACCACAGGAGAACAGTGACTGGAGAATTTTTCTGGACAGCTTTCAGCGTTACCAACAGTAACCCACAACCTATTACATGATATTACATGATATTGAATGATATTACATGATATTAGATGGTATAAAACTATATAAAATTATATTACATTATATTACATTATATTAAACGATATTAAATTAAATTATATCAAATTATATTAAATACAAAGAGATCAGCTGGCACCCTGTGAAGAGCAGGGCTCTGGCAGAGGCTGACACCTGTTGTGACACTCAGGGCACCCCCTGCCCACCCGGCCTCCCCTGCTCTGTGCATTTGGTCACTTGTGTTGTGGTCACACTGCGTTACCCTTCCATGGCACACGGTGACACCTGCATCCCTTTCCAAGGACTTCATGGCTCCGTGGGCTTCTTTTGGAGGGGCACGGGCTGGGTGAGCTTCCCACCCCCAGAGTGAGCCTGGCAGACCACGAGTCCTCAGTGAAAACAGGAATTGTTTTGGCACTGTACATGCAGAGCTCAGTGGTACCTGCACGCCCCAGCAGCGTGCCTTGCAGCCATGCACCGCTGCCATGCACGACTGCCATGCACCACTGCCATGCACCACTGCCAGCCCTCTGAGCTGCAGCCCTGGGAACAACTGTGGGCTGGACACAGCCCAGCACAAAATGAAACAAATTGTGCCTCTATCTGCCAGAATCCGTGAAGAGAATCAGCTCCCTGCGTTTCACACCCAGAACTGCTGTTCCCACCTTTCACAGGGTGCTCTAGCTAGCCTGGGAGCTCTGCACGTCCTGGCCTCCTCCCTGGTGTCTGCTGCTGGGGCTGGACGCTCTGTGCCTCAGACACGTGCTGGGACAGCGGGCTGCTGCTCCATCTGCAACAGAAATGTCAGAGACTGGAGCTACGGATGGCAGAGACGGCTGGAAACTCAGAAATCAGGAGCAAAAAAATAATGTGTCTCAACAGAAACTGGTCCTGTTCCACTCGGCACCTTCCCAGGCATTAGAACTGCCCCAGCTCACACTTTCCAACCAAGAAGGGAGGGCAGGACACACATTTGCTGGTGGGCTGCTCGCAGGGAGCCACCCCAGCCTGTTCAGAACATGGGGGGAATTCAGCCCTTCAGCAGTTCTGGCACTGGGCACTTTCCTCCTCATACAGCACAATTCACCCTGCCCCTCCAGCCACACAGCTCCTGAGAGGCACCACAAATGGGGACCCTGTGATCCCCTGTGCCCCCAGAAATCAGGTGCCTCCTCAGCACCTCCAGCTGCAGCTCCAGCCCTCACCTCTTCCACCCCTTCCCTCTGCGGAAAGGACAGATTTTCTATCTGGCCTTCACAAGAGGGAATTCCCAGAGAAAATCTCTTAACCCCTAGGACAAGGAGGAAAAGTCTGAAGAACAAGCACAAACATTTAAAACCCCCAGATGGAGCACTAAGGAAAGAAAATGTGCTGTCCTTTCAGAAAACTGCAGTGTTTGGGCCAAACAACAGGTGTGCCAGAGGAGGCAGCTTGGCAGGTGTTCCCTAAAACAACGCAGAGCACCAGGAGCAGCCCCTGTCCCCTCGGCATCCTCGGGGCACAGGGAGCACGCTGAGGGGACAGGTCTCGGGATCTCTGCTGCTCACAGGGACCCCAAGATGTGTTAGAGAGTCTCTGTTCCCAGCCTGGTGCTCAAAGAAGCAGTCAGAGCTCTTCATTTCTCGGTCTCAATGTTGTTTATTGTTCCTTATCTATAAAATTCTTTCTCCTGTCCTGGCCAGGCCCGCTCAGCAGGACAGTCAGAGGCACTCTGCCTGCCCCAGGGCAGGGTTATCTTTTTATACTAAAAACTACCTGTACAATATTTACAGTTACTTTCCAATACCTGTCACCTATGTTAGACACTGAGCTTCTACTCTAAACCAATCCAAAAGTGCCAACATCACAGCAGAAGATGGGGGCCAAGAAGGAGAAGGAGAAAGGCTGGACGTGCCCAGATCCCTCCATCTTGCCTCCTGAACCCCCATACCAAAAACCCCAAAATCTACTTTTCCACCCCATGATAAATTCACTGTCATTCTGCTTAATTCGTCCTGGTTTGCAGATCTTCCTCTAAGGTTGGTAACTTGCCCCATGGGTCACAATCAAACCCACAGGGGCATCCTGGGCTCTGTGCCAGGGTCTCTGAGCGCCCTGGCAGGGTCTGGGCTGCTCAGGACAGACAGAGGGATGTCCTGGGCTCCGACAGACAGGGCCACCCAGCTGTCACCTGTCCCCAGCCTGGGATGTGCCCTTGAGCAGCTGTTTCTGAGCCCCCGAGCACAGCACTGAGCAGCTGGAGCTGGGTCCCTCCCTCACAGAGCTCCTCACAGGGAGCTGTGACTCCACAGGGATTCTCGTGGCCCCCTGGCCCTTCTGGAGAGCCACAGCTCAGTGTCTGGAAGGAACCCCCGTGGGTGTCCCCAGGTTTTCAGGAGCAAAGCAGACCTGAGGGTCGGGGCCCACTCCAGCCGGGTCAGGACATGAACAGCACAGCTCTGACCAGCAAGGAAAAACCAAACCTATTTCCAAGGGAGAGTAATTCAACATTTCGTGGAAGGTATTAATTCACCAAATCGAAATTTTTGGATGGGCAAAAGTCTTCCTGGTACTTTTGATATGACATTTTTGTTTTAAGGTACTATGTCCCAGCAGGCGTGGCAGCGGGAGCAGCAGCACCCTGCACCCATTGACAGAGAAATGCCTGCTCAGATGCTGCTGTGCAGCTCTGGGTGCTGTCCCCCTGCACCTTCACCCACAGGAGCTCCTGGCAGCGCTGCTTGTGGTGTTTGCCACCAGCAGGCAGAGCTGGCTGGGCTCTGGCTGAGCAGGAACTTGAGCCCTGAACAGCAGAGACAGCTGGAAACAGCCCCAGAGCAGCCCTGGGAGCAGGGCTTGGGGTGCTGGGGGGTTGTTGTCTTATATATTACAACAGTTCTATTATCATTATATGTTGTCTTGTATAGCAAGAGTTCTGTTGTCATTATGGTGCAAGGATTCCATATCACCAGAGTTTCATACCTCCTCAATGTTTCTCACAGGCAGCCACTCTGAGCACTGACTGGTCCTTGCAGCAGCCCTCTAACTCCTCTCACTCCAATTCCCACCAACCCACTCTTTTATGCCACTTGTTCTTATTGACTACAGGTGTTGCCTGTTGTCACCTGGCCTGCTCCTAATCTTTAGTAATAGGGTCCAGCTGCAAATCCTTGGGGGAGATTAGATTCAGATTACATTCTACAGCACCTTCATTTACCCATACTGCGTCCCCCTGCAGTGGGTGAGAGCTGTCCCTGCCCTGGCCGTGTATGCTGGCAGCCAGAAATGCCCTGTGCTGGCCTGACCCCAGTGTGGGCAGCAGGGCAGGCAGGGGCCATTCTGCCCCTCTGCCCTGCTCAGGTGAGACCCCACCTGCAGAGCTGCCTCCAGCCCTCAGGCCCAGCACAGGGAGGATGTGGAGCTGCTGCAGCCGGGCCAGAGGAGGCATCCTGTTTGATCAGAGGGCTGGAACACCTCTGCTATGAGGAAAGGCTGACAGAGCTGGAATTTTTCAGGCTGGAGAAAGGAAGGCTTTGGGGTGACCTTAGAGCCCCTTCCAGGACCTAAAGGGAACTCCCAAGACACATGGGGACAGATTTCTAGCAGGGCCTGTAATGACAGCACAAGGGATGATGGGTTCAAAGTAAAAGAGGCAGATTTGAGAGTACACATGAGCAAAAAACAAGGTACAGTGAGGGTGGGGAGGCCCTGGCACAGAGCAGCTCTGGCTGCCCCAGCCCTGGGGTTTGGAGCAGCTGGGACAGTGGAAGTTGTCCCTTGCCATGGCAGGGGGTTGGGCTGGATGCCTTTAAAGGTCCCTGCCATCCCAAACCACGCTGTGGTCCCACGGTGTCCCCTCCTGTGTCTCTGGTGACACATCCCCGCAATGTGCAGCCCCAGGGTGAGGCAGGGCTGGTCCCTGGGTCCCTGCCCAGCCACCCCAGCCCAGCAGGCATGGTCTGCCCCTGCCCAGAGGGTCAGCACAGCCCCTGCTCCCAGGCAGGGAGAGGAAAGCTGAGCTCCCTCCTGACCAGCGTGGCCCAGAGCTGCACCAGAGCCTCTCCTGGCACGGCTGAGCCTCTCTGCAGCAGAGCTTTTGAAGGTCAGCCAGGTCTGGTGAGACACCAGCACAGAGCAGGAACCCACCCATCTTCCACAGAGCTCCTGGAGATGCTCTTGGGGATGCAGCCAGGGAGAGCTGAGCCACAGGAGCAGGGTCAGGGCTCCCACCACACTGGCTGTGCCTGTGCTGGGAGCAAAGGCGTTGCCAAAAGAAAATTTAAACAAGAAAACAGAATAATACCCCAACAGTGTGGGATGGGTTTTTTTTTTAATTGTAGGGATTGTTTGTTTGTTTTGGGGTTTTTTGTTTGTTTGTTTTTTGTGCCTTTGGAGCTCAGCACTATGGAGTATCCCCATGGCCTTCCTGGGACTCCCCACAGAGGAAAAACTCAAGTTCAGAGCAGTTCCTGCACATCTGTCAGTGGAGGAGATCTCAGCACTGCTGGGAAGCAGCTTTGGCATGGCCTTTTGGCAAATGCCAAGAAAGGAGGAACAGGACAAAAGAAGCCTGTGACACCTGCCTGGTTTGTGAGGACAGGAGCTGCCCTCGTGGGGGCCTGAAGGGCAGCCCAAGGTGCCAGACACACATTGCTGCTGCTGCCCGAGGGCACAGGCACAGCTGGGGACAGGAGGGACAGAGCAGAGCCCTCTCCATGGCCAGGGGTCTCTGTGTGAGCCACGGGCAGCCCCCTCACGCAGGCTGGAAACGCTGCCATGGCACCGTGGGACACTGGGACACATCCTGGTGACACTGGGGGACACCGCCACGCCTCGCTGGTGGCGCTGAGGACCCTGCAGACCAGTTCATGCCCCCAGCCTCAGGTGCCACCCGACCACTGCCAGGGCCAGAGGCAGA